ACTGAATAAAAACATTAATACGGCATCTGTCCATTTCTGAAGCTCACTCTGACTAACTGAAACCCTTTTCCTTTCCCGATGTTTGAAATCATTTCATTTACACAACAGCTGAGCAGAAAATCAGACAAAAGTTACAATTACAGATCTGAATTATTGTTTAAAAGCAGGATAAGTGATGATGAAGCTCAACATCACTTTGATTCTTCTGCTACAGAAAAAACAGGTGCAAAAAAGTTTATAATATGTGTTTGATTGTGGTGTCAGGGTGACAACCGCAGTCCTGTTTGGACCAGAACCACTCTTCAGCATCTAACCAGGTCACAGTAAGTTGGTCTTTTCCTGACCCAGTTATCATTCTGGTCCTTCACTAGTTTTTCCACAAAGTAATCAAAGTTTCCGATGTTTCCCTCAGAATGCTTAACTTAGAGCTATGATGGTTTCTGGATTTAGCCAGTTTCTTCATCCAATCATAAATGTCCTTCCTTGTTTCTGACCAATCAGAGAGCCCTTCCAGCAGATCTGAGCTCCGGATGGTTTGAATTGTGATGCAGTCATAAGTACTGCAGCATGAAGGTTCCGGGTTCGAATCCTGTCTATTGCCATGCACTCTGCAGGTTCTCTGTGTGCATCAATGATTGACACACCAATTTTATATTATTAATGATAGATAGATAGATAGATAGATAGATAGATAGATAGATAGATAGATAGATAGATAGATAGATAGATAGATAGATAGATAGATAGATAGACAGACAGACAGACAGACAGACAGACAGACAGACAGACAGACAGACAGACAGACAGACAGACAGACAGACAGACAGACAGACAGACAGATAGATAGATGTTTTTTACTGTGACCATGCAGTGTGAAGCTAGAAAAACGAATAAGAAGAATTTTAACACAGTTTTAAGAGGTTTTCATCCTGTGCATGGTCCGCCAGCGCTTTGCAAGTTTTACAAGTGACAACAAATCATCCCTTTGCTTCTCCATTGACCGACTGTGACTCCTCGGTCAGGTGGTAAACTGTGAGAGAAAAACTGTTGGGTGCTGAACAGTTAAATCTAGTTCAAAAGTTACTCAAAAATAGCAGAAATTAAACCAGCATTGTCACTTCACCTCCTCCTGTGGAAGGGTTAGGGTTCGGGTCAGACACCCCAACCTGAACCTGGGAATCTCCGTCCTCCTCGTCCCATGGATCACATGGGTAGACTTTGCTTTTCTGTCTTTATTATTTACTGTAATTTGTCTCCAAAATTTAAAAAAGCAAGCTATGCAGGCATAAGGTTGTGTGCGCGTGTGGATCAGAGCTGTTGTTTCTATGCCATGCGGATCGCATCACTGTATTATATTAATGTGGTTTGTGCATGTTGAGAAAGCGTTCGTGTCGATCAGGTACAATGATAGTTTTGTTCACAATATCCTGAAGATATGTGAACTTCACAGTGGCACCACTTACTGAGGACCACCTCAACCCACGGTGTGCCCCAATAGTGGAGGTCATGCTAACACGCTAACACCGCTCCCCTACCCTAGAATAGACTTGATTATTGCGATGCTATTTTTACTGGATTGTCAACAAGCAGAACCAAAAACATCAATAAGACAGCTGCGGCCTGCCCAGAATGCTGCTGCAAGAAGCCTGACTAAAACAGAGACCAGGATATCAGTCCAGTTCTGATACCTGCACTGCTTCCTGTTGCTCAAAGAAGAGACCTTAAAATCTCATTAATGGTTCACAAAGCTCTACACAGTAAAACCCACAGAACATTTCTGATCCTCTTCAACCCGAAAAATCACTCAGACCTTTAAGATCTAAGATCATCACAATCAAAACTAGTAATTATTCAGAGTCAGAACTAAAGATGCTGAAGCAGCTTTCAGTTTTTATGCTCCAACAGTCTGGAATTAACGTCCTGCTCCCCCTGTGAGTTTATTTGCACAAGCTTCAAAACCCTTTTATTTGCATTGCTTATTCTTAACATTTTAAAATATATTCATTTCTTCACTTAACATTAGATTTACAACTTTTTGTATTTAATCTGTCTATTTTTGATCAGTTTGATTTTTTCTTCCTTCTTGTTATTTATGTGTTGTTTTTAACTTTGTTGCACAAAAAGTTGACTGAAAGTTGCTGTAGAAATAAAGTTGCCTTGTTGTAAAGGAGATGGACTTCGACAGAAACCCTGGAGAAATAATGTGTAAATTACCTGAAACGCGTTTTATTTGTAATTTAATGTTTCAATTCAAAGTCATGTTTTCTCGCTACAAACAGCATTTCTTATGAAGACACGGTTTCACTTTTAATTCCGAGTCATCGTGAAGGCGTCGCCGGTAGAAACGCTATTAGGTGACGTCATGACGCTCCAACCTCGCCAACATGGCTGACAGCATCCCGTTAAATCCGGTTCGGAAAAGCTCCAGGAGAACCGCGAACTACAGCTCAGCCAGGCTCTCCAGGTGCGTAGCGGGAGCGGGACGGGCTCGGGTCCAGAACCTTTGTCGTGTCCAGAACCCCGGTTCTGCTTCTGCAGCTGTGACGGCTTCATTAAAGCTTCCGGAACCGGACATGGGTTCTGATTGTACAGCACCAGAACCGCTGACAACCATGTTTATGATTATGATCGTTGCAAGGCAGCAGAATCATGAACTGGACAGAACTTTGCTCACTGGACCTTGAAGGTTCGTCTCAGCAGCTTGTTTGGGCTTTTCCACATCAGGTCACATGATCGGTTCTGGTATGACGTCATGTCGGTCACATTGGGAACAGAGATGCCTTTAAATGTATTTTATTTTCGGACTGAATCGTAAACATCAGTTCATCAAGTTTAAAGCTGGTTTTAAAGTTGCTGGTTTGAGAACAACGCAAACCAGCAACGACCTCAGAGTGGCAACTGTTAACCTGGGAAGGGTCAAAGGTCATCGCCAGATCATCTGAGGTCCAGAGGAAAACATGTCATCAGCTACCAACCTTCACAGTGGGTTTAGCCTAAAGTCAGAGGTCAGAGGTCAAAGCGTAAAGCTCGGAGAATTGACCAGAAACCCAGACTTCCGTCTCACTTAGCAGGTCAAAGGTTACTGAACCGGAACGGCTGCTTGGAAGGGTTGAAGGACGAAGGCCCGGTCCGGTCCGATCCGATCCTCTCCCTCCCTCTTTCCTCCTTCAGATGCCATTCATGTTGAAGGTTAAAGGTCGCAGTGTGTCCCACATTCTCCACATGATCCGCCCTTCGCCCTCTTTGGGTCCTGTTTCCGTCCTCGCCAAACTCCACATGTTGGCGAAGTCTGTTACCCACAAATCATTGCTGCATGTGACGTTTTGAGTTGAAACGCATGTTTTCTTTTCGTCTTTTTAGAAAATTCACAGAAAATATCATGACATTAGTAATAAAGAAGTTTGATGTGATAAACTGAGCTGAAAAAAGAAGAAATCAAAAAGAACAATCACAAACTGACTGAGGGAAGTAAAACAAAATGTCACAAAAGCAAAACAAATTTTAAATCTTAAGATATTAACATGTTAGAATAAACATTGTGCTTTTGTGATTTTACTTAAAAACTGTCTAAAATAGAATGATTTCACTTCAAAATGGAGGCCAGAGGACTAAATAGATCACAATTTAATTCTTCATCCCCTGTTACAAGAGCAAATGTTATTATATTAAAACTTAAAGATGGGCTAGATTTACTCTAAAATATTCACTGAAAATGTTCGGACTGAATCATAAACATCAGTTCATCAAGTTTAAAGCTTGATGAACTGATTATTGAAGTCGCAAATCAAAGAATGTAAAGTTTATTGTCACAAAATACAGGAATTCATATTTATTTAGAATTTCTTTTGCAGAAAGTCATTACTGGGAAAACTTTCTACATAATCATGAAATGAATATCTTAAGTTTTTGTGGGAGTGGAATAGAAAGCTGCTTCTTTCTTATTATCACAATGATTTAAAAAAAATACTTTCTTCTCAGACTAGAGAAGAAAACTGATGTCGGAGATCTTGATTCATTTGTTACATTTTTGGTTCATAAAGTCACAACATTCATAGTTCCTTTTTAAAAAGAACATTTTAGTTCCATTAGTCTTTTTATGTTTCAAATGTAGCCTCAGGCATTATGTTATGTTTTATATAAGCCGTATGTTTGTCCTGAACTTGATCTGTTATTATCTCCACTTCATACCAAACTAACTCTTATCTGCATAAAACTGATGGTTTCATGGATAAATATCATATCTCTATTAGTCAGACTGATAAATTGATTAGTACATCTGATGTGTATTTTTTGCCATCTTGAAAATATAAAATAAGTTCACAGAGCGAGCTGTCTGTCGCAAAAAATAGAACAAAATCAATTTTCCAAAGTAAATTATTGAAATGATTTTTGTGTCACTGAACATGAACATATTGAGTTGTCTGTGTTCAAGAAGTCACAACAAAACATCTTCACTGTAGATTTAAAATAATGTCTTGTTGTAGTTAGGGGTTGAATGACTTCACGTTATCATGACTACATGATCATAGTTGAGTCCACGTCGACTAGCCGCAGTGATGTCATCATGACATAAGCACAAAACGCTTCACAGCTGCTTGGAGGCTTTATCAGCTCCATTCACCTCAAATACTGAACCCCTCCTTCTCCTGCTTTTATCAGTCTATTCTGAAGAACTAAAACAGCAATAAATATATCATTCTTTGTGAGCAGCAGTGAAAAGTCCATTGCACAAAGGCGGGTCTGACTTTTCTTTTCTTTTTTTGCAAACCCCGGCTGATGCTGATGATCTGTGGATGGCTGGACGTATAGGAGTCACATTATCACACTGACCGCAGTGGAACGTCACAAACCAAACATATTATGACCGGATCCCGTTGGTTACAGTTGGATCCAGCGCTGCGTCCTGCTGCTCCTCCGCTGGCCAGCAGCGTCTTTCTGAACAGAGATCTGCTCCATCAGAACCTCGGGGTGAAGCTGGACTTTGTGTCCAGATGTTGTCAAATAGTATTTTTATAAGAGTGTAAAGCTGCCAGGTTAGAAACTTCAACACGCAGCGTGACATTGATCAGTTGGATGGATAAAAAAGCCCGACATCATGGCACATTGCCGCACATTACTCCGGCAGTCTTCTGGAGTTTTTCAGCACTAGTTTATTTGACAGCAGTGTGAGAGCGGAGCGGCCTGAGCCCAGAGGACGGAGTCAGATCCTCCGGTCCAAAGTCTCTATATGCTGGGTGCACTAACCACTGCGGTTGGCTATGCTGAAGTTTCTCTTTGGTAAATTTTTTACATTTTTATACAGTTTGAGCTGTCTGACAAAATCATCTGGCTCACCTTTCAATTTCTTGGAAAAATCAGTTTTGTCACGTGATTGCGACGAGTCGACTGGGCCAGAAAACAATCTTTGCTGAGAAAAGAATCAACTAGTCAACTAATTGGTGCAACCTCTAGTCGTAGTTGTACTTTTTAGCAGTGGGATGCCTAAATAGTGTCCAGTCCACCATTTTGGATGTGACTTTATGACCCAGGGCCGTTCTGTCCCAACTCTGGACACTGAGTCCACACTTCATAGGGGGCATAGGGCGCTGACACTGAGACTGGGCCTAAGAGTCCCATCTTTAGAAACAAGATGGCTGCCTAAATGCTGTTTGCAGCTGCACCTGATTAAGGACAAGACTACTGGGACAATGTGATGATGAATTCATTACAATGTAATTAACTAGCAGGGTTAGGGTCAGATGGAGAGTAAAAGGAGCCGGGGCTCCTGGTTCACCTCCTCATGGTTCTACATATGGTCAGCCTGGAACAATCAGATCCATCACAGCTTAGGATGACCCCAGCTGGGCTATCAGCTTTATCAAAAAGGAAAGTTTTAATCGTAGCCTAGGAAGTATTCTGGACTTCTGCCTCTGTAAACTGGGTTCTGGTTCTGGTTGGTGGGAGGAGTCCATCCTCCACTGTAAAATCTCCGGCAGACCTTTTCACTGCAGCTTTCATTGTTCTTGTCAGCTGATGTTGATGTCTAAGACTGCAGAAAGTGTCTTGTGGGGTCAAAGGTCAATCCTTCTGACCATGAGCTCAGTCATCCAGATAAACGTCCTCCTCACCTCCTGTCCTTTCAGATTTTCTCTTGAAGATGAGCCGTCCAACCTGGACGAGATGCCCCTGATGATGTCTGAGGAAGGCTTCGAGAACGACGAGAGCGACTACCAGACGCTGCCGCGCGCCAGGCGGGGCCAGCGGCGCGGGGGCCTGGGCTGGTTCCTGCTGGGGGGCTGGGAGGTCTTCTGCACCAGGTGAGCTGATCTACAGACCCACCTGTAGCGGCCAGTCTGGGTTAGCACCATGCTAACGGTTCACTCTGTTGCTCCCAGTCTGGGTTAGCACCATGCTAACGGTTCACTCTGCTGCTCCCAGTCTGGGTTAGCACCATGCTAACGGTTCACTCTGCTGCTCCCAGTCTGGGTTAGCACCATGCTAACGGTTCACTCTGTTGCTCCCAGTCTGGGTTAGCACCATGCTAACGGTTCACTCTGCTGCTCCCAGTCTGGGTTAGCACCATGCTAACGGTTCACTCTGCTGCTCCCAGTCTGGGTTAGCACCATGCTAACGGTTCACTCTGCTGCTCCCAGTCTGGGTTAGCACCATGCTAACGGTTCACTCTGCTGCTCCCAGTCTGGGTTAGCACCATGCTAACGGTTCACTCTGTTGCTCCCAGTCTGGGTTAGCACCATGCTAACGGTTCACTCTGCTGCTCCCAGTCTGGGTTAGCACCATGCTAACGGTTCACTCTGCTGCTCCCAGTCTGGGTTAGCACCATGCTAACGGTTCACTCTGCTGCTCCCAGTCTGGGTTAGCACCATGCTAACGGTTCACTCTGCTGCTCCCAGTCTGGCTAGCACCATGCTAACGGTTCACTCTGCTGCACCAGTCTGGGTTAGCACCATGCTAACGGTTCACTCTGCTGCTCCCAGTCTGGGTTAGCACCATGCTAATGGTTCACTCTGCTGCACCAGTCTGGGTTAGCACCATGCTAACGGTTCACTCTGCTGCTCCCAGTCTGGGTTAGCACCATGCTAACGGTTCACTCTGCTGCTCCCAGTCTGGCTAGCACCATGCTAACGGTTCACTCTGCTGCTCCCAGTCTGGGTTAGCACCATGCTAACGGTTCACTCTGCTGCACCAGTCTGGGTTAGCACCATGCTAACGGTTCACTCTGCTGCTCCCAGTCTGGGTTAGCACCATGCTAATGGTTCACTCTGCTGCCTATCAGTTCAGCTGTGGTGGATAAAGAAAGAAACCAGGTCAGGAAGCAGATCAGGGTCGGAGCTGCAGGTCAGGATTGTGGGTTTAACTGAAGGAGGATTTCAGCAATTCTGTCCTCAGGTGGTGAGAATAGGTGGCTCAACATCGTCCCCACTGGTCCTCAACACAGGCACACCGCAGGGCTGTGTGCTCAGCCCAGCTCTCTTCACCCTGTTTACACACGACTGCGTTGCCATCCACCCCACCAACACAGTCGTCAAGTTTGCGGACGACACAACAGTAGTGGTTCTCATTTCAGACAACAACGAGACCCCCTACAGAGAGGAAATTCTGCAGCTCACTCAGTGGTGTTCAGCCAATAACTTGGTGCTGAACACAGGGAAGACCAAGGAGGTCATCGTGGACTACAGAAGGTCCAGGAGGACGGGTCACACTCCCCTTCTCATAGATGGAGAAGAGGTGGAGCGTGTGGACAACATCAAGTTCCTGGGCCTCCACATCACGTCTGACCTCTCCTGGAATACAAACACCTCCCACCTGGTGAAGAAAGCACAACAAAGGCTCTTCTTCCTCAGGAAACTGAGACGGGCTGGACTTTCCTCATGGCTGCTCGTGAACTTTTACAGGGCGACGATCGAGAGCGTCCTCTGCCTCAACGTGACTGTGTGGTATGGTGGCTGCACAGCACTGGAGAGGAAACAACTGACACGGGTGGTGAGAACGGCACAAGGCATTGTGGGATGCCCCCTCCCAGACCTGGACTCTATTTACATGGGCCGGGTCAAGAAGAGAGCTGGATCCATAGCCATGGATTCCAGCCACCCGGGCCACAGACTGTTTGTGCCGCTGCCATCAGGCAAGCGGTTCAGGAATATACGGACTACAACAAACAGACTGAGAAACAGTTTCTTCCCCACAGCCGTCAGAGCCATTACTCCCTGCCGCCCCTCCCACACATATCATAACCTCACATACACCCCCCACCCACACCCCAACCCCCACACAGCCATATAGTTCTGCACTTGCACTGTCACATCATCTGCACTTTACCATAATTGGACCTGCTGCTTCTTCTTTGGTGTGGTTGAGTGTCTTTAGTTAATTTTAGTTGTATATATTATTATTATTATTGTGTGTTTGTTTATTTAATGTTGTATATATTTGACTTTTTGCAAGGGAGTTGCAATAGAAATTTCGTTGAATCCTGTTCAATGACAATAAATGCTATTCTATTGTTATGTTGGAAGGTTTATAATACCAGCCATATCAGCAATATTATTACTAGCCTGAGTTTTCAGTGCTGCAACGTCCCTCGCAGCAGCGAGATATTTTGATTCTTTTTTTCTTCAGAGGTCTTTTTAATTGTCGTGTCATTTTTCTGTAACTACATTCTTTTTGTGTCTACTGTATTTTCTTCAGTCTTGTTAGCAAGTCAGCATCTGCAGGAGCTGCAGAGGAGTTAAACATGAACATGGCACAGAACGCAGGAGTCACCTGTGTTGGGCTTCAGATCGCTGCGCTTGTTGTGCATGAAAGAGACGGACGGGCTTTGACTGAGCTACTCGACACGCAAAAAGGCTCCGGGGTCAGACGGATCCGGACTCTTCCTCGTTCCGTCGTCCTCTACAGATGCCAGCGGCAGCGTTTGTCATGGCGTAAACTCTCAGGGGAACAAATGTGTCACCATGTTTCGGTTTGCTGTTGGGGGGCTCTTCACTGAAGCTGTATTTTGCCCCCTACGCCCTCCACCCCATGAACAAATGGGATTTTTCACAGCTGAGCAGTTTGATGCTTTCCAGTAATTTTCAGTTTGCAGAGTGAAGGATTATAAAATCCAAATAATTCACAGTGAATAAGCCCCGACTGTTCAAGCGCCTTATTATTTAAATAGCATTCATTTGCTCAAATAATGGCTCTTATGAAGCTGAACTGGGGGGAGGGGTGCTGGGGGATAGGGAGGCAGAAAACATGGAGGCCAATGCAAACATGACTTTTTACCAGAGTTCATTTATTTAGCTTTATGTTTTGCCAACTTGCTCAAAAAGTGGAAAAGCCAAAAGTCGCTCAGCATGACGGCACACAGTGACACTGCCCCCCCGCATCCCCGGCTCCCTCCCTCTGTCCCAGGTGCCCCCCCCCACTCCCCATGTTTGCATTTTGTATCAGATATGGCGATAAGCCCAATGCCGTCATTAACAGGTTGAGGCAAAGTCACTCACTTTTTAAAGGTGTGGAGAAACTCTGCTCTGCTCCTGACTGACTCTAGCATACAGGACGGATCTAAAGCTACTACTGGGTCGGCCCAACAGGGGCTGCACATGGAGCAGAGAGAGGTCAAAGTTCACTGAGGGGAGAGCACTTTCCTCTGAAAGCATAGACATGATGAGAGAGTGGCGGAGGGTCGACAAGCTGAAGGCAGGACAACAGACAAAATCCACAGAGGGTGATCATGATGATGATGATAATGATGTCATATCCTGCCTTCCTCCTCAGCTGCTGCGACTGCCTGGCTCATGTCTGTCGGAGGAAGAAGCAGATGAAGCCCCGCACCGTCTGGCTCGGCCGGCCGGAGAAATGCGAAGAAAAGTTCCCAAAGAACGGCATCAAGAACCAGAAGTACAACGTTCTGACCTTCGTCCCCGGGGTGAGTCGGCGCCGGGTTCTGATGCTGCGGGTTCTGATGCTGCGGGTCCTGATGCTGCGGGTTCTGATGCTGCGGGTTCTGATGCTGCGGGTTCTGATGCTGCGGGTCCTGATGCTGCGGGTTCTGATGCTGCGGGTTCTGATGTTGCGGATCCTGATGCTGCGGGTCCTGATGCTGCGGGTTCTGATGCTGCGGGTCCTGATGCTGCGGGTTCTGATGCTGCGGGTTCTGATGCTGCGGGTTCTGATGCTGCGGGTCCTGATGCTGCGGGTTCTGATGCTGCGGGTTCTGATGCTGCGGGTCCTGATGCTGCAGGTTCTTATGCTGCGGGGACTGATGCTGCGGGTTCTGATGCTGCGGGTTCTGATGCTGCGGGTCCTGATGCTGCAGGTTCTTATGCTGCGGGTTCTGATGCTGCGGGTTCTGATGTTGCGGATCCTGATGCTGCGGGTCCTGATGCTGCGGGTTCTGATGTTGCGGATCCTGATGCTGCGGGTCCTGATGCTGCGGGTCCTGATGCTGCGGGTCCTGATGCTGCGGGTCCTGATGCTGCGGGTCCTGATGCTGCGGGTCCTGATGCTGCGGGTCCTGATGCTGCAATTTGCATTTAATTTTTCTGACTGGACGAAAACCAGTAAGAACTGGTTGTTTCAGTTTTTCCCCAGTGTTCCCAGTGGCCTGTTCTGTCTCTGCATGACTAGTTTTCCAGTCTCCCAATCAGATCCATCAGAGCGATAGATCTGATTGATCAGCAACCGTCTGTTGGAGACGTAGAAATGATCAGAGTGGCTCCATTATTCTCTGTACCTTGAATTAATGAATATTATCAAATTATTATTGCAAACAAAAGAACCCGAAGGTCGGTTCTGGTGATTCTGATACCGCATCTCTTTTTGTAAACATCACTCAGAATTTGACCTTTGGTGAGCGCGGTGGGTCAGGGGCGGGTCAGGGGTGGGTCAGGGGCGGGTTAGGGGCGGGGCTTAGCACCTGGAGGAACCACTCACCTGGATTTTGCAGAATTGATCCACAAAATAAAAGCGCTGAAGGAAGTCGGTGCTCCACGTTCAATCTTCCCCTCTGAAACACTTTGTGCTGAACAAGCGAAGCAGCAGCGCCATTCTCCCGATCAAACGTATTGATTAGCTGATCGGCTGCACGCTAACTCGACACCAGGGTGGCAAGATGACAGTGATGACCTGGGAGGGTCAAAGGTCACCTTGCTCTGTTTGCCGCATCATTCTAGAGTGAAAAGCGAGTCGTCTGTCCCAGCCGGTCCAACAGAACCAGGACCAGAACCTGAAGCTGTGTGTTTGTGTGTCCCAGGTTCTCTACCAGCAGTTCAAGTTCTTCCTCAACCTGTACTTCCTGGTGGTGGCGTGCTCCCAGTTCGTCCCGGCGCTGAAGATCGGATACCTGTACACGTACTGGGCCCCTCTGGTCGGCGTCTGCTTGTTGTTGTCCGGCTTTTATTTTGTTTTTACTTCATTTTGAATAATTATGTTGTAAATTGGGAAACAATTTTCCTCTCATTTTTTTAAACACATTTTTATTCATGTTAAAAATGTAAATTTTGTCTCACCAGAGTTTTATTTTATGTACTTCAGTTCAATTTTCTGTCACTTTTTTAAATTTTAGAGATGTAAAACATTTTTCCTCCAGTTTCATGTTGAGTTTGGATGATGAGTTTAAAAAGCAGTTTTTAAATCTGCTGCAGATATTTTTATAACGCGGTGCTGCAATAAACAGGCTGCTGGTTCTGCTGGTTCTGCTCAGGGTTTCGTGTTGGCCGTGACGATGGTGCGGGAAGCCGTGGACGAAGTGCGGCGCCATCAGCGAGACAAAGAGATGAACTCGCAGCTCTACAGCAAGCTGACAGTCAGAGGTTCGACACAAACGGGTTGTTCTGGTCACAGGTTCAGACTTTTCATTTGACTGACAGACGATGAGCTGAGATCTTCATTTCTGTCAGAAAAATCAGTGTCTCCACTTGGTCATAATACATAAATATCAGCCATGTAGAAGCGCTAGAAACAGCTTTCATGTTTTCCTGTTGGAGGGTCAGAACATCAGAAATCAATACCTGATGGTTTTTCCACCGCTCTTTAAAACGACTTTCTGATTTATTGTTTTGTCGTCTTTTTGTTCTTTATTTTTCAGGTAAAGTCCAAGTGAAAAGTTCAGATATACAAGTCGGAGACCTGATAATCGTTGAAAAGGTAACATTGCCTGTTTAAATCTGTTCCTCTGGGGATATTAATGTAATGTAATCATGTTTAGAGTTTTATACCTGCAGTGTTTGCAGTCAGCAAATGCATACAGGCAGCCTCCGGGACACCCGAGCCCTAAACCATCACTGGATGGTTTTCCTGTTCCTGAGCGGTCAGTATCTTACCTGCGACATGGAGAATCACAGGACTCAAGTATTTCATTGAGATTGGACAGTTTCTCAGCTAACATCCTCCCTTATAATCATTTTGTGGAGCCGATGAGCAATAACGGTGGATTGGTTCTTAAATCTTGGCCACAGAATAAAAGCTGACTTGGGTCAGAAAACACCAAGCGGGCCAATCAGAGCTACGCCTTCACAGGAAGCAGGAGGAGCTGCTGGAAACCAGGGCGGTCCACACTTTTTGGATCATGGACAAAATTTACCAAGTTGAACAAACTGAGGAGCCAGAGGTTTTGTTCCTGCTAAGAAAGAAGCAAAATCATTTTATTCTACATTTTACTTTCTAGCAAACTTCAATCAAATTCTTGAAGGTCTGCAAAAGTCCTTCAGACATTAAATGAAAAGTGTAAAAATTTTGTGGATCACAAATCGGAGCAGAAAACTCTGGATGTTTCCACCACAACACCCAGTATGAATCCAGATCCAACCAGAACCAGAATGGGTCAGACTCCATCATTGGTCAGCAGCTCTGCATCGCTCCGTCTTTATGCCTGTTCACAGATCTTATTGTTTTGCAGAACCAGAGGATTCCTGCAGACATGATTTTCCTGAGGACGTCGGAGAAAACGGGTCGGTGTCCACAGCCTGACTGGGTCCAGAAGGGTTCTGGTCCGGGCTGGGTTAGTGGTCATAATGTTTTGCCTGGTGTTTGCATCTCCAGGAGCGTGTTTCATCCGGACGGAGCAGCTGGACGGAGAGACGGACTGGAAGCTGAAGGTGGCAGTGAGCTGCACGCAGCGCCTGGCGGCGGTCGGGGTGCGTTAGCCTTTACCAGGCGGCTAATTAGCAACGGCTAACTGTATGGTTTTAGTTTTTCGGACGGTTAACTGAAAAGTGCGTCCGATCTCATTGCAGGACCTGTTCTCCATCAGTGCCTTTGTCTACGCCCAGAAGCCCCAGCTGGACATCCACACCTTCGAGGGTAACTTCACCCGGGTGAGCGAACTTCAGCGCACAAGCTGCCAGACCGGTTCTGGTTCTGGAGGAGTCGGCAGGCTGAGTCCTGCAGCTCCTCCTGCTGGCTCCTCATGGATCTTTATATGAGCAGCAGGGAAAGGGGGCGGAGCTTTGGGTTCCTGGTGGCTTCTTGGCGGCCATCTTTAGTGATGCTGCTGCTGCTTCGCTCCAGATTATAATCTGCTGAACAGATTAAAAGTTTAGTTGTAGAAACGTTTTCAGGAGGTTTTTGTGCAATTAGTTTTGTTTTTTGCACCAAATTGTTTCATAAACGTGAACGGCCCAAAACTGTGACCTATGAACTTTAGCTGTGAATGAAAACATTTGAGCTTGTTGTTTGCAGGAAGATGTGGAACCGCAGATCCACGAGAGCCTGAGCATCGACAACACACTGTGGGCGAGCGCCGTGGTCGCATCAGGTGAGGAGGAAGAGGAGGAGGAAGGGCTGCTGTGTCCGGGTTTCGTCATTTAGATGAATCAGCTGGTCACAGGGCGATGACATCATCAGCAGAGGAGGTTAGGGGTCAGATCATGAAGTTGACCTTGGAGTACCGACCTTTGCTTTAGCAGCTAATGGCTCTTCATCTCCTGCTCCTCTACCTCAGCCTCATCTTCACGTCCCGTTGCTTTGTCGGCTGCGCCTCGGTGTTATTGGAGCTCATAGAATATTGATGAGTCGTGAATGGTCGCTAATCGGGTATTGATCTGAGTTTGTGCTGAAGGCTGAGCTTCCTCTGCCTTCACCAAGCCGCTTCCTTTGTTTGGCAGGAACAGTGATCGGAGTGGTGATCTACACGGGAAAGGAGACGCGGAGCGTCCTCAACACGTCCCACGCTAAAAACAAGGTGACGGTTTCCGCGCCGGGTCTAGTCCAATCACCTCTCGTCAGCACTAGCGCTTCAGGAGGGTTAGCCACAATGCTAGCACAGGTTTAGTCTGTTCAGGTCAGCAATAAATGAATCGCAGTGGCGGTTCTGGAGGTTCTGGGTCAGAGAAAGATTGATGTGTTTGTTCCCTCTTTGGAAACCTCCTTTAGCCAGCAGGGTGGTTCTGGTTCTGCTAACTCTGTGGTTCTGTTGCCCTGCAGGTGGGCCTTCTGGACCTGGAGCTGAACCGCCTCACCAAAGCCTTGTTCCTGGCCCAGCTGGTTCTGTCCGTCGTCATGGTGGCGCTGCAGGGCTTCGTGGGCCCGTGGTTCCGGAACCTTTTCCGCTTCGTGGTCCTGTTCTCCTACATCATTCCCATCAGGTGCCTGGTGGTTCTGACCCGATCCGTCTCCGGTCCGGTTACGGAGGCAGGAAGTGAACCTGTGTTCTGATCCGCAGCCTGCGGGTCAACCTGGACATGGGGAAGTCGGCGTACGGATGGATGATCACCAGAGATGAAAACATTCCCGGCACCGTGGTCAGAACCAGTACCATCCCTGAGGAACTGGGCCGGCTTGTCTACCTTCTGACAGACAAGACAGGTTAGCACCAACCAGAACCAGAACCTGGCAGGGAGCGGGTTGTGAGGGAGGTTCTGTCCCTTTGAGCTGCAGAGTGCAGAACCTTTTCTTCTCTGAGCGGGTCGTCTCTGACCCGAACCGTGTTGGCTCTGCCCGCAGGAACCCTGACGCAGAACGAGATGGTGTTCAAGCGGCTTCACCTGGGAACCGTCGCCTACGGCAACGACACCATGGACGAGATCCAGAGCCACATCGTCCAGTCCTACGCTCAGGTGAACCGCCGGCCCGGCCGCACCCGCCTGGACCTGGTTCTGGTTCTGCATCCAGAACCAGACATGGAGAAGCAGCATTCAGCTTCTATGCACCACAAATCTGGAACAAACTTCTAGTTCCTTTAAATCATGGCTAGAAATCAGCTGCTTCCAATCGATGTGATTAATAATTCCTTGAATATTGATAAATTGATCTGATATGTATTGATGATTTTGGCGCGCATCAGAATGTAATGTTCACAAGTTTCTCAGTTGGTGACTTTGACTTCTACTTTTGTCTTTTTATCACATAAAACACTTTGCACTGCTTTGTTGCGGAAATGATCCAATCAACTTGATTGATCGATTGATTAAACGTTCCTAAAGTTGGTTCCATAAAGGAACGATAGAAAAGTTCACAGAACTGTTTGGAGCTGGAAGGTTTCCCGCCGCTCGCCGTCAGGCGGGGAGTCCAACAGGAAAGCTGCTCCATTCATCCCTGCGCTCCCTCGGGTTCTCCTCGCTGGGTGGTTCTGATCCGGTCCAAGCAGCTGCTGGAGCCGGAACCGCCCTCCTCCCTCAGCTAGTGACACCAGAACTCTTCTGGACTCGGCCCGTTGGCCGAGTCCAGAAGCACGTTGATTTTCCTGTCACGTTTTATGATAAATATTCAGTTCGGACCGATCCTATTGCTAGCAAATGGATCAGTCGGAACCGGTCCTGAATCAAAATCCAAAGCTCTCTCAACCTTTCAGGTTCCGGCTCAGCCGGCTGGAGGCGGCACCGGGAATGCTGCGATGGCGAGGAGCAACCCGTCGCAGGGCCCCAAGGTCCGAAAAAGTGTGAGCAGCCGGATCCACGAGGCGGTGAAGGCCGTCGCTCTGTGCCACAACGTGACGCCGGTCTACGAGTCGCACGCCGCCGCAGGGGAGACGGAGTCGGCGGAGGCCGACCAGGACTTCAGCGACGACAACCGGACCTACCAGGCCTCCAGCCCAGACGAGGTGAGAGGTACCATGATGTCATTACCGCCATGTTGGCACTGTAGCGGCTGAACTCATTGAAACAGAAACCCGTAAACAGTAAACCCAGAAACGGCACATAGCCCGAAGTCCTCAGGCAAAAGCAGCGACCGGCCTCAGGGTCCCGAGGATCCAGAGGATCCTGAGGGTCCTAAGAGCGCAGCCTGAGGTTTATAGGCGAACTGCAGCGGATCAGGGAGCCACAGTCGAGCTCCAGGTGAGTTTACCTGCAGGATGCAAGGTGGGAGGAGCCTGACCCAAGAGACCAACTGCAGCTAGTCTGTAGGATCCTCCAGGTACTGGAAACATGAGACTTCTCCTCCAGGCTCCTCATGTTTATTGACTGAAGGTCAGAGGTCATGCCCTCATGATGGAGGTTGACCTGATTAATCCTCACTTCCTGCTTCCGGGGATTTATTTCCTGGTCTGTTACCCTGGTTGCCATGTTTACAGTCCAGGATAACTGTAGCCCTGCTGGTGGTTCTGGATCAGAATCCGATGTCCTCTGCCAGACCCAGACATTCCAGATGTTCTGGTCCTGCAGGTGGCGCTGGTGCGCTGGACGGAGAGCGTGGGGCTGACCCTGGTCAACAGAGACCTGACGTCGCTGCAGCTGCGGACGCCGTCGGGACAGATCCTGTCCTTCCTCATCCTGCAGGTTTTCCCGTTCACATCGGAGAGCAAGCGGATGGGCATCATTGTTCGGGTGCGCTCCCCTGCCGCCGCCGCCGCCGATCTCGTCCTGCAGGAAGTAACGAAGCTCTTCTGATCTGTCCAGGATGAGGCCACTGGAGAAATCACCTTCTACATGAAGGGAGCAGACGCTGCCATGGCGACCATCGTCCAGTATAACGACTGGCTGGAGGAGGAGGTAAGAACCGGGCCGAAAGTATTCATACCCCTCGAGTGTCTCGGCTCCACTGGTTCTACTGGGACAGCATGATGCTGCCACCACCAGCATTTTTCTGCTTGTTTGTGTTAAAATCGTCTGTTTGTGATTGGACTCTCGGGTCCAACGGGTCACTTTGGCAGCTGAAGTTTCATCTGAGGGCAGCTCCTCTTCCTCCTCCTCCTCCTCCTCATCATCATCATCATCATCACCATCATCATCATCCTCATCATATTGGCATTATCGAGTCATGCAGCGCCGGGGGCAGCTTCTGATTTAATTAGTGACCCAGTTGGTGTAATGAGTGTTTGTCATATTCATGATCAGAGCTGTCGGCTGTAGCATCCTGCTGTCAGATCAGCGGGCGGCACCACGGCCCGGCCCGGCCCGATCGGCACATCAATAACCAATCAGCAGCTCCATCGGTGTTTTCATATCAGAAATAAAGTGCCGTCAGGCTCTCCTTGTCTATTGATTCCTGTTGGTTATAATAAGGCGTTGTTCAGTTGGCCCATATCTGCGTTCATACCGGGTCGCTGCACAGAACCACCAGAACCTCTCTGGCTCTGGGTCAGCTCTCCAGATGATCTGGGGTTTCTAACAGAACCCGACTTTTCCCCCAGTAAACTTGGCTGGTGCGATGGTGATGAAGGTGGAAGGAGGTTGCCGGTTCAACCTTCGCTGTCCGCTGTGACGTCGGTCAGTTTTATTCCTTATTTGTTGCCAATTAATCAGGTAAATTTAAGCTGAATAATTGAACATCTGACGGTGAAACCCTCAACAATGAAACTTGATCTGGATATTTCAGGGATTCTAATATTATTTAGACTGAACTTTGTTTGCCAAGATGCAATGTAGGGAAAATCTGTTTCGTTTTGGGAGAGAGCGATACACTTGGGAGAAATCCGTATTTGTCTTTAGATATTTTATTTAGAAAATCAGCGTCTGAGGAAAGAAAAGCAAGAGAGAAGAAGGAAGAAGAAGCGAAACTTAACATAAAATTCTCCTTTTATATCATATCTCTCACATACATGGTGCCGGCCACCCATTTCTCTCAGTTGGGAGGTACCAATTAACCATCTCTGGTTAATTGGTACATCTGTCCCTAAATCAATCCTGGTTCAAAGGAGTTTTGGTTGGAAAGAAAAGAAAAATCTTCAGAAAACTCATTATCATAATATTTGCTCAGAAACCTTCATTGTCGGTTCAATCTTCCCAGTAAATGAGCCAAAGTTTAATTTTCCAAGACAATGCCGAGACCAAAGGTTGTGTTTGGAATTGACTAAAAGAAAATCCTGTTTTTGTGAAGAAGACTGTGATGAAGGTCGTCTCCTTTGCTTCCTGTCAGTGTGGGAACATGGCCAGAGAGGGCCTGAGGACCCTGGTGGTGGCCAAGAAGTGCCTGTCTGAAGAGCAGTATCAGGACTTTGAGGTAGGAACCGCCTCCTCTATGCGACCCGAAGCTTTCATCAGGTTCTGAAGGTCTGATCCAGCGACCAATCAGCTTGCAGGCTGAATGCGGGGAACCGAAAATGGAACAGCTCACCAAGTATTGCACAGCTATTGATTCATGTGCAGCTCTACTTTTTCCATATTGTCTTTTTGGTCACTAAAGATTAATAACTTTTATATTCAAAAGTAAAGGCTAGTCCAAAAATGACAGAAAATACTTCTGGATTCACCCTTTTTCATGTCTTAAATCATTTCTTTTGCTCAGGAAATACTTTTAAACTGTTGAATTTTTTAAAAATAATTTTAATTTTATAAATATATTGACAAGTCGAAATGTGGCTTAGAAATCAAACAATTGAGACCAGAGGAACATCTTCACTTCTGGAAGGAACATCAGCACAAAGTCTACAGGGGGATGTTAATTTGAGAGCACACATTTTCAGTCTGAAAGCGAGACTTTGTATATTTTGTTCTCAAAACCTCTGCTGAGATCAAATCTCCACTTGCAAACTTCTTTGCTCTGAATCATTTTCTGCTCTCGGTTGAAAAGAAAAATGCCGCCGCCTGGCAACCTCTCGGCCAATAGAATGAAAGTGTAGTGCTGGGTGCGTTTGTTTCCTCCTAGTAGGTGTGCCTGCCTGGCTACTGGCGTTTGTAGCAACATGTAGCCGCTCACAGGAGACATGACCTCAGCTTTTTGCTCCGTGTTCCACGAAACATCCACCAGCATAGCTGCTGATCCCTGACAGCTGCTGATCAGGTTTTTTGCTCCCGATTCCGATACCAATCACCCATGAGGCCGATATCTGCAGATTTCCTGGATTGGCTGTTAATTTTTTGCTATCGGTAGAAATGATACTAATAGAATAGAATAGAATAGCATTTATTGTCATTGAACAGGATTCAACGAAATTTCTATTGCAACTCCCGTGCAAAAAAAGTGATCATTAAAACATTCTCTCGTAATAAATTCACCTAATTTAGACATAAACAGGAAAAATACTTGCATGCACAATACAGCAGCTACTCAGTCAAAAGGACAAAAACCTGCAATCCGTAAACTAATATTTATCTGAGTAAGGCTCTCACTTCCATAAATTATTAGTCAAATAAATAATGTCATGTAATATAAGGAGACTGAAAATGTGGGCTTGTTTACAATCGAATGTATTTGTAAAGCACATTTCAGCAACAAGGCAGTTCAAAGTGCTTCACATCACAATGCATATAAATAAAAAGCCATAAAAACAGCATGTAGTCGACAATTAATAAACTGGTAATACTATTTTTGCACATTTGAAAAGTAGACAGAAAGGCGTCTAGTTTTCACATTTTCAGGGCATTTGACTTGGGAGCAAAAGGCTCCACAGTTTATAAAAGCTTGGCTATAAACAGACGGTTGTTTTGTCATATCTATGACTTTCTGCAGTAAGAAACATATCGACTATAACCCTGGGTAGAGATGGAACGTCTGCGTCCAAAGCCTTGTATTGTTCTTGCGGGGCAACAAATGGCCCCAGAACCACACTTTGGACACTCCTCAGCTATGAACTGGTTCCAACACCGGCTCTGGTTCCTGTCTAACCGGCCCACTTCCTGTCTGAGCAGAGCCGCTACAGCCAGGCCAAGCTGAGCCTGCTGGACCGGGCGCTGAAGGTGGCGGCGGCGGTGGAGAGTCTGGAGAGGGAGATGGAGCTCCTGTGCCTGACCGGCGTGGAGGACCAGCTGCAGGCCGACGTCCGGCCCACGCTGGAGCTGCTGAGGAACGCCGGCATCAAGGTACGATCGGATCCAGGGCCGGACTCCGGGTCAGGCCGCTCCTCACCGTCCCGTCTCTCCTCAGATCTGGATGCTGACTGGAGACAAAATGGAGACAGCTACCTGCATTGCCAAGAGCTCCCACCTGGTGTCCCGGACTCAGGACGTCCACGTCTTCAAGCCGGTGCGCGGGCCCGCAGCATGACGCTGCCGCTCCTCGCAGGTCAGTCAGTCTGATGGTGCGTTTGGCTCTCACCAGGTGTGCAGCCGGGGGGAGGCGCACCTAGAGCTGAACGCCTTCAGGAGGAAGCACGACTGCGCGTTGGTGGTCTCTGGAGACTCCCTCGAGGTAGGAGAGCTGAAATCGGGTCAGAACCAGAACCGGAACTGGGTGCTCCTGTCCTCTCCTCTCTCTCCAGGTGTGTCTGCGCTACTATGAGCATGAGTTCGTGGAACTGGCCTGCCAATGCCCAGCTGTGGTCTGCTGCAGATGCTCGCCCACACAGAAGGCCCAGATCGTCCGGCTGCTGCAGCAGCACACAGCCAACAGAACCTGTGCCATAGGTGGGCTTCCGCCGGGTCGGAACCGGACCCAGCTTCCCTTCGGAACTTTATTCTTCACTGGTGATTTCAGAGTTTGTTGCTGCTGCAGGAGAAGATGAATTTGTTATTTTAGGGTTTTCACTAGACGATGCAGATTTTTAGCGGGTTAGGGTCAGAGGTCAGGGTTAGAGGATCAACTTCTGGGAGGATGGGTTGCAGCAATCTGATTGGTTCAGCTAGGGCTGGGCAATATACGCTTAAAGTTTTATCATTTTGTGGTACTACTGTGGTGATAATAAAAGTGATGATTAGAACTATTTAGCGCTTTTTAGATGTCCGTTTGTGATGCACTTATTTAAGTCACCACAGAAAGACGTTTTATTGCTACAATGCACACATTAACTGCAGCGTTAAGTTTCACATTGATTGGCATTTGTTAATTCTCTAGTTGAACTTTGATGGATTTTCAACATCATAATTTGAAATTTGTCAACAATAAATTGTAATTCTTTTAAGAAATTTACTATGATAAATGATCAACTTCACAGTAAACACACCCGGGTTAAGACACATGAAGCATCGCCCTGACAGTAGAGCTGGTACTTCCTCCATGTGGCCACTAGATGGCAGCCTTCCCGGCTCACCTGCATGTTAACCACAGGAAGTTTGTGTTTGTGCTGCAGGAGACGGCGGGAACGATGTGAGCATGATCCAGGCTGCCGACTGTGGCATCGGGATTGAAGGAAAAGTAAATCCTGCTATTCTGAGATTATAATTCTAGCTCGCTGCAGCTGCAGAGCAACCGGAAGCTCTGGTTCTGACCCGTTCTGGTTGTGTGCAGGAAGGGAAGCAGGCGTCACTGGCCGCAGACTTCTCAGTCTCGCAGTTCCGACACGTCGGCCGCCTGCTCATGGTCCACGGCAGGAACAGCTACAAGCGCTCGGCCGCGCTGGGACAGTTCGTCATGCACCGAGGGATGATCATCTCCACCATGCAGGTTCTGCGGCCGTCCCAGTTCTGACCCAATCTATTCCCCAGGACTGTCCTCTGACCCTCTCGATTTCTCCTCAGGCTGTCTTTTCCTCCGTCTTCTTCTTCGCCTCGGTGCCGCTCTACCAAGGTTTCCTCATGGTCGGGTACGCACCCTTCTGCACCCAGAACCCAATGTCCAGCAGAACCAGAGGTCCCACAGAACCAACAGAACTGGGTTTCTAACTGCCATGAGGACAGCAGGTTCTGACTGGGCCAGGGTTTCAGAATAAAAGCGTGAAGCCAGAATTCTCTGCTTTGCTTTTGCATCAACCCTGCAGGACGTTTCCGGTTCTGTGTGATCAGACCCAGGCTGGCTCTGGTTCTGATGGTACCTTAGTTCTGGTTCTGATGGTGCCATATGAGGGGAGTAAACCCGTTCTGGTTCCAGGTACGCCACCATCTACACCATGTTTCCCGTTTTCTCGTTGGTTCTGGACCAGGACGTGAAGCCCGAGACGGCATTGCTCTACCCAGAACTCTACAAGGATCTGACGAAGGTACCTAACTCGGTTCTGGTGACTCCACGGTTCTGCGGGAGATTCTGACCATGTTTGTGTTTTCAGGGTCGCTCCTTGTCCTTCAAAACCTTCCTGATCTGGGTTCTGATCAGCATCTATCAAGGTAAGCGGTTTTGGTCCGGTTCTGATGCTTCTCCCAGCTTGGTTCTGTCTGGCTCAGCGGTCCCTCTGAGGTCCCGCCTTCTCTCCCGGTTCTGATCCTTTTCTCAGAGTCTCGGCTTTCTCTCCCTCTCTGGACCGTAAGCCAATCTGAGCGTAGCGGCTAAGCTGTAGCGTGACTTCCTGCCGGCACCGGGTTTTAATTAAAGACCTGAATGGGCCGGGCCGGGCGGCGGCACCTCGGCTCCGTGTTCCGGAGGCCGCCTGGCCGGAATGCGCCGCATGCAGGCTGATATCGCAGCAATTATACGATCAGTTAGAGGCGGATTATGCTGAATTAGCACAGCTATCAGGATACCACGGGTCAGAGGTCAGACACCTTATCTTAACACTCGCTGGTCCTGCTGGGAGTTTTCCAGTGAGATGTTGGGAGCCGCGGCCGTTTACCGTCAGCGGTCCGGAACTGGCAGCTGGAAAAATCTCTAGAAAACTCCAGATTCCCACCAGTTAGCTCTCCGCCGCCAAACTGGGAAAACGCATTGGTTGCCTCACTGGAGACCGCAAACCACAGACTCACCCAGTTCAACCCAACCAGTTCAGCCAACCCGGTTGAGTGGGAACTCACCAGTTCAACACGTTTTTTGCACTGATTTATTTTTTATTAAAGTGACTTCAGTGAAATTCTGTTTTGAACATTTTAAAATGAGAAGCATTTCAGTCCTGTTGACCTTTGACCTGAACTCTGACGTGCATCTTTGCGCCCCCAGGTGGCATCCTGATGTACGGCGCCCTGGTTCTGTTCGAGTCCGAGTTTGTCCACGTGGTGGCCATCTCGTTCACGGCGCTGGTTCTGACGGAGCTGCTGATGGTGGCGCTGACCGTCCGGACCTGGCACTGGCTCATGGTTCTGGCCGAGTTCTTCAGCCTGGGCTGCTACCTCGCCTCGCTCGCCTTCCTCAACGAATACTTTGGTACGGGTCCTTCGGTCGGCAGCAGAACCTTTCTGGGCCGGTGTGGATCCAGTAGTTGGACCAATTCTGGTTCCTGACCCGAGGGGGGATGCAAAGATAGGCCTATTCAGGGAACCGTCCTGAAACCAGGGTCCCATGGGCTGAGCAGAACCGGTCAGGGGTCCATAATATCTGAGCTCCAGTGTTCTGACGATCTGTGCTACCCCGTCAGATTTTCCTACCACAGCACAGATAGAAAGCTGGCTCTGTCGGTCCGTGCTACCCGTCTAAAACTGCTACCGCCATGTTTACAACCAGAAACTATATATTGTTCTATATATTGGATTATTCAGTGACTGGAAGCTTAGCAGTTCTGGTTAGCTTAGCATTGAACAATTGATATGATGATGAAACCAGAAGCAGATCCCTTCCTTCATCTGAATATCCTACCAAAGTTTGAAATGACATAATTATTAATTATTAGTATGTACTAATAATTACTAATAATTAGAATATACTACCTTTTTTAAAATATTTCAAATACAGAGGCGTTTGTAAGAATAAAACAATATCAGTCGGGAAAAAGGTTTTATTGGAATTAAATTAGACAAACACAGATCACCGCAAGTCTTTTTGTGCATTAATCCGTTGTATGTCTGTTATCAGATGCAGCCACAATGTGCGGCTTTCGCTCCCCAACATTTAGATTCCAGACGGGAGAACTCACAAAACGTCTCTTGACCAAACGTGAGGTCACAGTAAACGAACATGGGCCACATGGGGACAGTGGCCCATGTTCTCGCTTTCTGATTGGGTACAATCAGCACGCTCCGATGGTTCGGTCCAAATGACGCTGCAGAACTACAGGCTCCACCCACAGTTCCTTCTTCTTCTGCTGTCTAATATCTGCTTCTTCTTCTGCTGTCTAATTGCTGTGTGATTTCTGCTCCAGGCATCGGCAGAGTGTCGTTTGGGGCGTTTCTCGGTAGGTCATCGTCTTTCCTCACCTCCTGCTGTTTCTGTTGCTGAGGCCGATCTGGGTTTCTGTGACCCTTCTCGCCCTCCTGGATTTCTCTCTTGCTGGTTCTTGGGTTCATTTTTGGGCCAAGAGCCAATGGGAGGAGGTGGGCGTGGTTTGTCATGGGATGTTAGTTCCTCATTGGTTAAAGTAACCCGGCTTCAGCTTCTGGGTTTTCTCTGACTTTGCTGGCGTCTCCTGCTGCCAGCACAGTAAGCTCTTTGCTGGAGGTTCCATGACTCTGCAGCGCCCCCTTCAGTAAGGAGACGGTAGCAGATTTCAGCCATAAGTGACCTAATTCTGTTTTTTTTTTTTTTTTGTGAAATCTGATTTTCTTTGTGTCCGTTCACATTCCCAAAGAGAAGCGACCTGTATGATCTGCAAACGCCCTGAAAGTGCCCCGCATGCGCAGTAGAGGGCGCAATAATAGAGAGCTGTGTTCTGCCAACCGCCATAAAGAAGACATGCTCAGTGTTTGTGGAAGTACACAGACGCCAACGGCGGAGCGTCTCTTACGGTGCTGAGGCTGATGTCCGACCAGAGCGGCACATCAACAACTGGACCTGGTTACGGCGGTCGTTTCCTTTTTCCCGCTTGCGCGTATCAGGAAGCAGAATAGTGACTTTGGCGAGTATCAAAGACGTTCGGGTCGGACGCCTTCACGTCCACGTTCGACGTCCAACCCGACGGCTAACCGGTACAGACGGCTAACCGGTATAGACGGCTAACCCGTACAGACGGCTAACCCGTACAGACGGCTAACCGGTATAGACGGCTAACCCGTACAGACGGCTAACCCGTACAGACGGCTAACCGGTATAGACGGCTAACCGGTATAGACGGCTAACCGGTATAGACGGCTAACCCGTACAGACGGCTAACCGGTACAGACGGCTAACCGGTACAGACGGCTAACCCGTACAGACGGCTAACCCGTACAGACGGCTAACCCGTACAGACGGCTAACCGGTACAGACGGCTAACGTTTGAACAGATCCGATATGTATCGATCCAGAACCACATATCCAAGTGGCCTGCGTCACACTGGAAAACATCTGATCTGTCATGAAAAGATCAGGAAGAGGTCGCATTGAGGTAAAACAATGTAAAAACTCGGATGTGGGTCACTTCCGGGTGCAGTGTGAACGGAGCCTTAGATCTGGAAACGTTTTAAAGCTTCTTGTTAAATTAGTTTTAATTTGTGGCCCTCCTCTTCCTCAGATCTGTCCTTCATCACAACATGGCCGTTCCTCTGGAAGGTGTCGGCCATCACGCTTGTCAGCTGTCTTCCTCTCTACATCATCAAATACCTGAAGCGTAAATTTTCTCCTCCCAGTTACTCCAAGCTGTCGTCCTGAGCGGCGCCCCTGCTGGCCGAAGAGGGAACATGGCACCGCCTTCAGCTTTGTTTCCTCAAAGCTTTTAGAAACTGATGTTCTTTATTTGACGTGTTTACGGCTGCATTCTGCTGAAGGACTTGATCACTTTGAGTAATTTCTCATGTTTTCAAAAAGACTCGCCATCCGGGCATAGAACCATCAACCTTTTTCCACGCTGAACGGGAAACGTCCTCAGCAGGAAGCGGCGGCGCATTTTGTGCCTCCCAGTTGTTAAATCCTGCTGAGGTCCTTCTTAAAGCGGCTTTCAGGCAGAATGAGTTTTATCATTCAGTCTCTGCTGGAACAAACTGCTGAAAACAAACCTGGATGTTTTTTTCTAGGGACAGATTGGCAACAAACTGAGTTAAATTTACTGGTTTTTTTTTACAGTTTCCTGCTCTGATTCCGGTTTTCTACTGATTGGATTGCTGTGTGTTTCTGTTTTATTCCTCTTCTTGCACTGCAGTGTCAGTATTTATTTCTAAAAATGTTCCTGATTAATTAAAGAAACTGAATGCTGGAGAAACGGCTGATTTTCAACGTTTGATGAACTTCCTCTGGCGGCCACCTGGGGGAGCCAGAGGCTGATTTCTGCACCCATCATCACACGTCACAGGTTGTAAAGTAAGCACACCCTTGTTGCTGTGTGGGGTTGAAGGTTCTGGTGGTCCTGCAGGAGTTCAGAACCGTTTGGACCTTTGGTCTCTCACGTGAAAATGAAACTTTTAAAAGTTTGCTGAAAATCCACTAAAACTGCAGAATAAGTTTTTGACTTTCAGGAAATCAAACTGAAGAGTTGGATGATCTCTGCAGTCAGAACCAGTGGAACATTCATTTGGGTCTGACTGGATTTACTTCTTAGGATGGAGTTATTGAGACTTCATCTCTTCAGAATAAAAGTCATCTTATTCACGAAGAGAAAGCTCATTTCTGCTTTTCTCTCTAAATCCGGTTCTGGTCGTTCGGGTCTTTGGACTTCATGCATTATTAATGCCATGTTCTGAAAATATAATTACATGAACTAAGAAGCTGGTCTAGTCAAAGTCCATATTCTGACTGAAATGCCTCTGCACATGTCTGCAGTTGAAATGAGCAGAACCAGTGAAACAGATACGAGGTTCTGAAAGGTTCTATGGGTCGCTATTTTGCTCGTTATGCTAATTTCATTTTTTTTTAAATCGCGGCTTTGTTCTTCCTAACAGAACCTGGAGGACACCGGACCGCCGGTTCTGTTTTCCAGCAGAGATGATTTGAGGAGGCTGTGAAAACGGGCCGGTCCTGGTGTTCAGAACCAGAAACTTCCACTGGGTTCTGATGTGACTCGGTTCTTGTTGGGTCAGTTGTGTTTTCTGGTTTCCATCAGAAGAGAACATTTGGCTTCCAGAACCTTCGACCCGTCCCCCTTTGGGCCCGGAACCTCTGAGCCGTTTGGACTCTGATCAGAACCGTCTGTGTGCATCCGACCCGGTCTGGTGCTGATCAGTGATGAATCTGATGGTTCGATGGTTTCAGTTCAGAACTGCTTTCATCTGTGGCTGCAGGTCCATTTGGGCCAACCTGAAGTTCTGCAAGTCGGGTCCGACTCATCAGACATCTCGGTGCCGCTCAGTTTGAGCATGTTTGACTTTTCTCCTGAATCTGGGTCGGTTCCAGATGAACATGAAGTCCTGCTGGGCTCACTGGGTCGGGTTTAACGTTCAGTCACTCAGGTTTCTGCCTTTATTTTCATGCTTTTAACTTGAAAGGCATTTTCCTTCATCCTGTTGAGCGTCAGTCGCCGCTGAAGGGCTGAAACTCATCTGCAGTTTTGGCATTCGGGGCCTGAACTGGATTTTTTACGAGCTTTTAAAAGACTTTTAGTGGAAGTTTATGTTTGTACAAATTTATTAGTGTTTGCGTTAAAAACACGGATCTCTGGTTTAGTTTCTCCCTGTTGGGTTAAAATCAGACACATGCTTTGGTTTAGTCATTAACTAGTTAACTGGGTTTGGATTAACCCTCCTGTTATGTTCCTGGTTCAATTTGACCCCGGGAGTGTTTAATTATGCAATAGCGTCAGAAACCAAAAAAATCCTCCAAAATATCTTTGTATCTGATTATTATAACCATTTCTATCGATATTTGTGCAATTATGTTTTTTTATTTCTCATAAATTAGGGATTAATGACGACAACCCGCTCATTAACTCATTTGGACTTAAAAAATGGAATTTACATTTTTTATGTCCACTGAAAAAAACCTAGACACAAAAAAAAACATTTCGTTTGAAATTAATCTCTGTCAAGTTTTTTTTATATTACATTTTATTTTTTTCAATGGGTGATCTTTATAATTGACCTTGAGACACATATACTGTTCCGGGTCAAATTGACCCGCTGATTAAAATCAACATAAATGAATCATAAAGAGATTATTTATGTTTTGCTCCATTTCTGCTGCGTCACTCGGTGTGGGTGGAGTTCATCCACAGGAACTGAAAAGATTCCTGTCAAAAGTTGCATGAACACCTGCGTTCTCGCCGTTTCCTAGTGAAGTAAAGAGAATAGTGCAAAAGTGGGTTTGTGTGTGTGTTGGTGAAAAATGGTTCATAGCTGCAAGAAAACATATAGAATTGGACATTTTCTAATCTTTATCCTTCAACTTGACTGCCGGGTCAAATTGCCCCGAACAGCATCAATGTAAAATGTAGATGCTGGGCGGGTTGCAAATGTCATCTTAGTGCTGTAGCTCAGGTCGCTGTCCAGACTGGGAAGGGTTAATGGGAATGGAGGAGGCCAAGCTGGAGATCCAGACCGTCGCTAACATGGCAGATTCATCCCATCATGGAATGGAACAGGCTCACTTTCAGACTGTCGCCAGTCGGGTCAAAGCAACGTTCAAAACCCGGAAACAGAAAGAAACTCCTGATTTAAACTGACGTCCAGCTCAGGCCCCATCGGTCCCGCTGGCTGAAAAAGCAAAACTTGCCCTCTAGTGGACAAAAGATGCCCTCTAGTGGTCAGCTAGAGAAGCTTCAGTCGAGCTGATGGACGTCAGATTCAGAAGGTCTCCGTTAAATCAAGAAGCTCAAATCTTCCTGGCTGGAAGGAAAAGCTTCAGAGCTGGTGTGTCTCAGCTGGAGCGTCGGGATCCAGCCCTCTGGTCACTTTTATGGAGCTTCAGCAGTGAGGAACAAGGAACGCTTAAGAATGCAATCTTCATTGGTTTTACATTTACTGGACCGGATCAATCGTCTGATTGATTGAATGACCAGGTTTGAGGCGAGCCGGACGCAGCGGTTCTGCAAACTCTCGTCTCCTGAAGTCCATCAGCAGAAACCAAATTATTTTTCATTCCTGCAGCTGGAGGAGAGCCGCCATTAAGCTATCATGTTATTAAGTGACGCTCTGACCAAAACTATTATTTTGGTCAGATTCCACAGCAGCTCTGAGACAAACTCACTGGTCTGAAAGGTCAAAGGGTCGCAGAGCCATAAAGAGACGATGCCACTCAGCGCAGGTGAATTCACATTTCAGCCATTCTGTGTCCAAATGTTGCTCTGATCATGTTGCAGGTGACGAAACCAGTCAGGAACCAGGTAAAAATCAATCAGGTCGACCAGAACTGTGGCCGTTCTGAAGGCCGACCGGGTCAAACTGGACCGGCTCTAACAAAGGTCAATATCAAGATGACCTAAGACTTTTGCACAATTGTTTCAAACGTTGGTGCCGCTGCTCCAAACTCCTGATCATTTGTAACTGGATCATTTCTGCGTTGTTCTGGTTTGATCGGACCGGGTCGCGTCGCGGTTCGATTTGAACGAGCAGGAAACAGGAAGTCCTGCAACTTCACAATCATAAGCTCACTTAAATATTGATGATATGAAATATAATTATTTGTTACAATAGAGACGATAGAAAACACTTCCACCTATAAATAAATTAGATATATTGAGATAAAAAATGAACAGCGCATGACAAAAGGGGCGGGGCTAATTTCACAATACCACAGAAGAAGAAATAGAGGCGGGGCTTAACGTTACACGATTAAAACAATGATGGAGTTTAACAGGTGCTTCAGGGAAGAAAAGGAACAAAAAACCCGTAACAATAATAAGTGGATCAGATCCCTGTTTCTGGAGGTCGTGACCTTTGCTCCTGTGGTTGAACATCATTGGAATCGTTTGGTATTACTATGACCTGGAAATTTATCTGGCGTCTCAATAATCACTTTCTTTTCACTAAAGAGGTGAAAGAAATTTCTTTTAAAGTGGTTGACAGAATCTGTTTGCCCAGTCGCTCACCCTCTAGTGTCTAAAGGATTTTGGCAACATTTTTCTAACTTTGCTGATTCCAAAATATCAGCAGGATTTCAGTGATATTGGAGAAATGTCTTATTCATATTTCAGCCAAATGGAGGAATGAATGTGAAAAGTTTCCTCATCAATTTAATAGTTATTAAGGCTAAATTTCACCCATAAATGCTCATTTTTGAAGAAAAAACCAAACTTTTCAGTTTTTTTGATCAAACTTAAACATTATTTATTAACAATTCAAACCTCAACGAACCAAAGAGCGAAATCAACAAAATGTTGTTGAATCAACTTGTTGGATTATCTTTTATGTTGATGCACATCTGGCACATATCACAATTATTATTGTCTTTTTGTGTTATATGTGCAGTACAATTGAATGGTTGTTTATTGTAATAAATAAAATGTATTAAAAAAAAAAAGAAAAGGAACAAAACCCGGAAATTTGGGCTGAGGAATCTTCCTCCTCCGGGGGCGCGCGAGGCACCTGGCGCGGCGCGGCGTCAGAGCGCGGAGGGCGGCGCGCGGCGCGGCGTCAGAGCGCGGAGGGCGGCGCGCGGCGCGGCGTCAGAGCGCGGAGGGCGGCGCGCGGCGCGGCGTCAGAGCGCGGAGGGCGGCGCGCGGCGCGGCGTCAGAGCGCGGAGGGCGGCGCGCGGCGCGGCGTCAGAGCGCGGAGGGCGGCGCGCGGCGCGGCGTCAGAGCGCGGAGGGCGGCGCGCGGCGCGGCGTCAGAGCGCGGAGGGCGGCGCGTGCGGTTCGGGGTGATCCCCGGTTTAAAAGCGCAGGAGTTTCTCGGTGCGTCACAGCGAGCCGCGCAGCCAGGATCCCCGGCAGAGAGAACCAGGGACCCACCGCCTGTTTTCTGCCAGCGGAGAGTTTTCCTGGTTTTGGACTTTGTTCCGGTTCGGAGCAGGAGCCGTGGTTCTGATCCGGTTCGGAGGACCCGCAGCAGCTGCATGGAGGATCTGAACTTTTGGCACAGAAGAGATGAAATCTGCAGAGGAAGGTGAGTTCACCTTTTCCTCTGGATTTTGGACTTTGGACCCGGTTCGGGTTGGTTCTGGAAAACGGAGTTGGACTCTGGAGCTGAACCCGGGGCTGGTCCGGTCCCAGTGGGCGTGGTTCGGTTCGAAATGGTCCCGAACTTTTTCTGACCGTCACAGTGGCTGATGCTTTGTTTGGACCAGAAGGGCATGAGACTGTCGGCTCCAATCTGGGTCGGAACCATCTGGACCCAGAACCGTGTTGGTCCAATGAAAGCTGGTTTTGGTTTTTAGCAGGTTGTGGTTCTGTTCAGTCTGGTTCTGAACCGGACCTCCACGGATCGGAGCTCAGGGCTCGCCGCTAACTTTATTAGCGGCGAGCCCTGAGCATGATACTGCCGCCACCATGGTTTCCATGGAGATGCTAATGTCTCCCTGCTCTCCCTCCAGATGCCTTCGGCTTCTCGCCCAGCGTCAGCCTCTCCCTGCCTCTGGCCTCACAGTTTGTCCAGTCCCGCCCCACCATTTCCGTGTCCTTGGTGGAGCCTGAGACCTTTGACCCCCATGACGATCCGCCGTCGGCCGGCTTCTGCTCACCGGTGCGGCCGGACGTCGCCGCGGCCCTGGAGGGCCCCCGCATCGAGATCACGGCCTACGGCCAGTTGCCCGAGGATGAGCCACGGCGGGGCGGCGTCCCCGCTGGCCGGCACGTCGCCTCCATCGTGACGCTGCCGCTGCCCGGCGCCGACCTCTACCGCGACCCCAGCTGCCTGAGCCCGGCCAGCAGCGTGTCGTCCCGCAGCGGGCTCTCCGACGCCTCTTTCGAGTCCGGCTTCTCCTACAACTATGACAACTCACCCCAGAACTCGCCCTGGCAGTCCCCCTCCGTGTCCCCGAAGGGCTCCACCCTGGCCCTGCCAGAGGACGGCGCCGCCGCCTCGCCCCACGCCGATGTGACAGACGACGGCTGGACGGCGCCACGGGGCTCCAGGCCCGGTTCCCCCTGCGGAGCCAAGAGGAAGTACAGTCTGAACGGCTTCCCGTCGCCCCCCGACCACTCGCCCCGCCTCAGCCTGACGGAGGACAGCTGGCTGCCCAACACCAACCAGTACACCAACTCCGCCATCTTGGCCGCCATCAACGCCCTCTCCACCGACGGCCTGGCCGACCTCGGCGACGGCGTACCCATAAAGGCCCGGAGAACCAGCCTGGAGCTCGGCCCCACCGTCAGCCTGAAGCTGGAGCACCGGGGGGCGGAGCCACCGCAGGACGAACCCCCGGCCAGCCGCACGGCCCTGAAGAAGGAAGGCTACTTCCTGGACGTTCCTCAGAACCCGTTCGGCTGGACGAAACCCAAGCACTTCCTCAGGTAAGGCCGGCGTTCAACCAGCAACCTGGACAGGCTGGAGGGTCAGGAGACCAGAACACCGGTCCATCTCCCGGCCCGGTTCTGATCCTCTCCCTCCTGTTGCTCGGTTCCAGCCCGTCTCTGCCGGCGCTGGACTGGCAGCTGCCCAGCAGCTCCGGCGCCTTCAGCCTGCAGATCCACGTCCAGCCCAAGTCGCACCACCGGGCGCACTACGAGACGGAGGGCAGCCGCGGCGCGGTGAAGGCGCTGGCCGGCGGACACCCGGTGGTCCAGGTCTGTATTCCTCGGGTTTGTTTGTTCTGGCAGCAGGCCCGGTTCGGCCTCTGCGCCTGCGTTAGACGGACCCGTCCACTCGGCCGCTTCCTGTCCAGGCGACGGTGACTCACAGTTTTCCATGACATCTCTGAGCGGCGCAGACAGAAATGCGGCGGCCTGCTGGAGCTGAGTCATGCTCCGACCGCAGCAGGCTCCGGTGGTCCGGCCCGCACGTGGTCGAGCTACAAACCCGTCTCCTCCCCCAGCGGATCCTCGGTTCTGGGTCGACTCAGGCTGAGTCGGGTAGAGTCAGTGGATTCTGAAAACGGCTTGCGACATTCCAAGCAGCCGTGCAGCTTCACAGTCAGACGCTAATTAAACGGCTACAAGAAAAGACGAGCGTCAGAAATGAGCCTGGAAGTGGAAGGCAGACAGGAAATACTGCGAATGCTGCACAAACAAATACTGGAAGTACGAGCTAACAGCAAGAAAACGGATTTTAACAGCTGAAATTTAATGAGCGGAAAGTAGAAAAATGATTGACGTCTGTTTGCAACAACTTGATGCGCACAACTTGGGGTCAACATGGGTCAACATGGGGTCAACATGGAGTCAACATGGAGTCAACATGGAGCCACATGGGGTCAACATGGGGTCAACATGGGGTCAACATGGGGTCACAGTAACCCAGTGATGTTGACTTTGGAGCTGCTGCAGTTCAGGCACAAGCAGGACATCTGACCTCTTAACCTCAGTCTGAAGAGGAGAAGCTGTCTGTCTGAATGCATCATTCATTCATTCATTCATTCATTCATTAATGGACAGATGGAAGCCAGATCTCACACAAACTGAGGTCAGACTTCCAGGACAGGAAAGTCTGTTCTGGAAGAACTGAGTCCACACAGGTCCTAACAGAACGGTCCTATATGGACGGTCCAGAAGTGGACGGTCCGATGTGGCGGTTCTGTTGTAGAGCCTGTCAGTCCAGAGGCTTCCCTCTGGACGCTGCTGCGGCTGAAACATCTGGATGGAAGACGTTTGGGCTCGTGTTGCTCAGAAGGTGCTAATGATTTAATGACGGCTCCTGGCTGCTCTCCGCTGCAGCCCCCTGCCACACAGACCACCCTTTGTTTATGCCGCTTCCCGCCCGGCTGACATCATGGCGTCTCGCGGAGGCGGCAGCTAACCGCAGCGCTGACTCAGCCCTGCTCCTGTGGTGGGCTCGGGGGGGCCGCAGCCCCAGGGTGCTGGTTCAACTGCAGCAGCTCGTGTCTCTGAAGCTTTAGGTCTGTTTCACGTGAGGTTCAGGAGGAATTACACTCCTTCTGCAGAATGTGGAGGAACGAAACGTCCAACTTCAAACGAAGCATTGAAATACCTTCAGACATGATATATTTCTCTGGAACAGCACCTCCTGGTGGCAGCGTGATGCAAGTGCTCCTTTGCTTCTGATTGGCTCTGTTTCACACTACATTTCATAATCTTCTGGTTGAATTGTTGCAGTTTGGACAATTATTTCCTCTGGTTCTGCTGATGCATAATCATGGCAACAAGGTTTTGCTTTTCCACCAGGGAGCAGTACCTTGTAGCTCCCAGTTGGGGAGAATCAAGGTACTGCTCCCCAACAAGGTATTGCTCAATGCCTCGGAAGTTCAGGCGTTCAGATAACGCCTGAACTTTGACCCCTAACCCCAGAGGAGTTGAAAGGAGGCGCCTTGGATGCTGACAGAGGACAAAGTTCTAACTGTCTCTTCCGTCCATCTTGATCTCTGGATCAGACCTTTGACTCCATCGTGTTTCTGAAAGAGCAGCAAAAGCAAATGAGGTGGATCAGCACAGCTGCTAACAGCTGCTGCTGTCATCCAGGATGTGTTGCTATCATCTCTGATAGCATTTTAGCTTGTTTTTGATCAGAGGCCTATCCAGATTCCCTGCAACATTTACTCTGGACGCCATCACAGGGGCCCCACTGGGGTTCCGGGGCCCCCACTGTGGTTCCGGGGCCCCACTGGGGTTCCGGGGCCCCACTGGGGTTCCAGGGCCCCACTGGGGTTCCAGGGCCCCACTGTGGTTCCGGGGCCCCACTGGGGTTCCGGGGCCCCACTGGGGTTCCAGGGCCCCACTGGGGTTCCAGGGCCCCACTGGGGTTCCAGGGCCCCACTGGTGTTCCAGGGCCCCACTGGGGTTCCAGGGCCCCACTGGGGTTCCAGGGCCCCACTGGGGTTCCAGGGCCCCCACTGCGGTTCCAGGGCCCCACTGAGGTTCCAGGGCCCCACTGGTGTTCCAGGGCCCCACTGGGGTTCCAGGGCCCCACTGGGGTTCCAGGGCCCCACTGGGGTCAAGGGGCCCCACTGCGGTTCCAGGGCCCCACTGGGGTTCCAGGGGCCCCACTGCGGTTCCGGGGCCCCAATGGGGGCTCTCCTCCAGACTCTGTTCGTTTCAAATGTTACCCAGTGCTAATGTTTGTAAACATTCATCAACCCCTGAAGAGAGAAGAGCCAATCAGAGCGATGCAGCTGTTTATATGAATTCAATGTTTGACTATTGACCAACACGGACTGAACGGTTTCCTTCACGTTTTCTGCCACCATCGCTAAAACTAGAATTGTGTGGAATAGCTCAGGAAGGCAACGGCTAAACAATCACCTGGAGACCAAATGGCATCATGGAGGAGCACAGCAACAGGTCAGGGAAGTTCTGTTTCTGTTCAAAGCAGCGTTTGGTTCTACCACAACAACCCAGCTTTCAACATCTGTTAGAGACATGGAGACAGGAAGTCCCAGTTCCACAGGAAGTCCCAGTTCCACAGGAAGTCCCAGTTCCACAGGAAGTCCCGGTTCCACAGGAAGTCCCAGTTCCACAGGAAGTCCTGGTTCCACAGGAAGTCCCGGTTCCACAGGAAGTCCTGGTTCCACAGGAAGTCCCGGTTCCACAGGAAGTCCTGGTTCCACAGGAAGTCCTGGTTCCTAACCGCCACTCTTCTCTGTCCTTTCAGCTCCACGGCTACATGGAGAGCGAACCTCTGACCCTGCAGCTCTTCATCGGCACAGCTGACGACCGGCTGCTGAGGCCGCACGCCTTCTACCAGGTCCACCGCATCACGGGAAAGACGGTGTCCACGCCGAGCCACGAGGTCCTGCACAACAACACCAAGGTGCTGGAGATCCCACTGCTGCCGGAGAGCGACATGCGTGCCATGTGAGTAGAAACAGCAAGTAGAATTAAAAAGCAGCTAAAGCTGCCTCAGGATGAGGAGGGATTATGATGATGATGGGCTGATGAAGAGCATGGGTGGGATAAGAGACGAGATGAGGAAGATGAACTGAATAAAATGAAAACCCAAATAAAAAAGTGATCATGTCTAGTAAAAAGCAGTAATTCTGCATCATGCTGTGAGACTGGGGTCTGTTGGTCCGGTCCGGTCCGGTCCGGTCCGGTCCAGTCCGGTCCGGTCCAGACACAGAATATAAAGTCTGTTGGGAAAATTCGGCCTAACCCTTCAGACCATCGATCTGTGGCTCTCGGCTTCCACACCTGATTGCTTCACCAGAGCTGCAGACAAGAATGTAGGGAGTGTTGAAATGTGTGCAAAAGTTGACATGAAGTAGCCTTTAAGGAATTCACCGTGGAGCGACTCCACAGTCGAAAAGCCAGACACGGTTTGGAGCAACTCGCAGAATGAAAGCAGTTTGATGGGAGCAGCAGGGTCAGACAGGAGGAAACTCCAGGAAAAATATTTCAGACCCCAAGCAGATCCAGGAAGGAAGACCTGGAGGTGCTGATGTGCAACCTCACTGAGTTTCTCTCCCGACAGAATCGACTGCGCGGGAATCCTGAAGCTCCGTAACTCCGACATCGAGCTGAGGAAGGGCGAGACAGACATCGGCCGGAAGAACACGCGCGTCCGGATGGTGTTCCGGGTTCACGTCACCCAGCCGGGTGGCAGGACCGTTTCTCTTCAGGTCGCCTCCAACCCCATCGAGTGCTGTGAGTCGCCATAGTTCTGTTCTCTGCAGTCAAACCAGTCCAAACCGGACTGGTTTGACCAGATTGGACCAGCCTAATCTGGTCCAATCTGGTCAGGTCCTGTCCAGTCCTGGTTAAACCTCCTGACGAACTTTCTGAACCTCCAGACTCGGATGATCTTTAAACATGAAATATTGTGAAATGGATCAGTCAAAGTAACAAGCCCTTCCTGACAGAGCGGGACACTGAGTTTCACATTCTTGATCCCAGCAGTTCCACACTATTCAGAACAGGAAGTCTATCATAGGTGATACACGATGCTCTGCGGTTTCCTGTCTAGACTCTCGTCAGACAGGAAACTGGCAGCAGCTTGAACTGTTTTAGCGCTTAGCTAAAGCAGGCCAGGTTTCCTGCTCAATGAGATTTTAGATTGTTGGTTCCAGAAAATCAGTGACCTGTTGGTAGAAAAACAAATCAAGCTGACTGAGGTTCATCTGGAGCCGTAAGAGTAAAACCCAGTGAACTTTTCCTGGACTCCAGCTGACCTTCAGCGCTGAGGGTTGAACTCTGTGAAATGAGCCGTTGCTTGTCCCTCACTTCCCCGTTTAGAAACCCACAGGTTTCTAAACGTTTAGAAGTTCATGATAAGCAGAAGGGTTGGAGGAAACCCCCTGAACCGTGAACCCACGTCTGAAGGCTGGACTTTGACTAGGCGCCTTGGTGGGACCCAGTAAAGGTCCAGAGGGCTTTCCAGCAGAAACCAGTGAGGCAGAGTTAGCAGCACATGTAGAGCAGAGCCTGCAGCGGCTCTGGATGCTCAGGCCCGCATGGGGAGTGGCTGTGGATGAGCCGTGACCAGGTTCCCGTTTCGCCCCGCAGCCCAGAGGTCGGCGCAGGAGCTGCCGCTGGTGGACAAGCAGAGCCTGGAGACGAGCCCGGCCCCCGGAGGGGACACCATGGTGCTGGACGGACACAACTTCCAGCACGACTCCAAGGTGCTGTTTGTGGAAAAGACTCAAGGTAAGAGGAAGGGCTGCAGCTCTCTCTCTCTCTCTCTGTGTGTGTGTGTGTGTGTGTATGTGTGTGTGTGTGTGTGTGTGTGTCTGTGTGTGTGTGTGTGTGTGTGTGTGTGTGTGTGTGTGTGTGTGTCTGTGTGTGTGTGTGTGTGTGTGTGTGTGTGTGTGTGTGTGTGTGTGTGTCTTTGCTTTTGGAGAAACCCCAGGAATCCCCCCCCTCGTCAAAATATGTTCTCCCTGCCAGAGCGCCACATGTGGAGCAAATTACTGCGGCGTATTTTTAACCCAGCAGAAGTTTCCATTGCCTGTTGAGAAGAGGAATGATCATAACCGAGACTTTGTGCATGTAGCACAACACACGTGTGTGTGTGTGTGTGTGTGTGTGTGTGTGTGTGTGTGTGTGTGTGTGTGTGTGTGTGTGTGTGTGTGTGTGTGTGTGTGTGTGTGTGTGTGTGTGTGTGGATAAAGACCCTGCTGCTCAGTTTCAGCTCCCAGATTTTCAGTTGGCGTTTTTAAACAGTGGAGCTGCGTTAGGGTGGAGCTGTGGTCGGGTGGAGCTGCGGTCGGGTGGAGCTGCGTTAAGGTGGAGCTGTGGTCGGGTGGAGCCGGTCGGGTGGAGCTGCGTTAGGGTGGAGCTGTGGTCGGGTGGAGCTGCGTTAGGGTGGAGCTGCGTTAGGGTGGAGCTGCGGTCGGGTGGAGCTGCGTTAAGGTGGAGCTGTGGTCGGGTGGAGCTGCGTTAGGGTGGAGCTGCGTTAGGGTGGAGCTGCGTTAGGGTGGAGCTGCGTTAGGGTGGAGCTGCGTTAAGGTGGAGCTGCGTTAGGGTGGAGCTGCGTTAAGGTGGAGCTGCGTTAAGGTGGAGCTGCGTTAAGGTGGAGCTGCGTTAGGGTGGAGCTGCGTTAAGGTGGAGCTGCGTTAGGGTGGAGCTGCGTTAAGGTGGAGCTGCGTTAGGGTGGAGCTGCGGTCGGGTGGAGCTGCGTTAGGGTGGAGCTGCGTTAGGGTGGAGCTGTGGTCGGGTGGAGCTGCGGTCGGGTGGAGCTGCGTTAGGGTGGAGCTGCGTTAGGGTGGAGCTGCGTTAGGGTGGAGCTGCGTTAGGGTGGAGCTGCGTTAGGGTGGAGCTGCGTTAGGGTGGAGCTGTGGTCGGGTGGAGCTGCGGTCGGGTGGAGCTGCGTTAGGGTGGAGCTGCGGTCGGGTGGAGCTGCGTTAAGGTGGAGCTGCGTTAGGGTGGAGCTGCGGTCGGGTGGAGCTGCGGTAGGGTGGAGCTGCGTTAAGGTGGAGCTGCGTTAGGGTGGAGCTGCGTTAAGGTGGAGCTGCGTTAGGGTGGAGCTGCGTTAAGGTGGAGCTGCGTTAGGGTGGAGCTGCGTTAAGGTGGAGCTGCGTTAAGGTGGAGCTGCGTTAAGGTGGAGCTGCGTTAGGGTGGAGCTGCGTTAAGGTGGAGCTGCGTTAGGGTGGAGCTGCGTTAAGGTGGAGCTGCGTTAGGGTGGAGCTGCGGTCGGGTGGAGCTGCGTTAAGGTGGAGCTGCGTTAGGGTGGAGCTGCGTTAGGGTGGAGCTGCGTTAGGGTGGAGCTGCGTTAGGGTGGAGCTGCGTTAGGGTGGAGCTGCGTTAAGGTGGAGCTGCGTTAGGGTGGAGCTGCGTTAAGGTGGAGCTGCGTTAAGGTGGAGCTGCGTTAAGGTGGAGCTGCGTTAGGGTGGAGCTGCGTTAAGGTGGAGCTGCGTTAGGGTGGAGCTGCGGTCGGGTGGAGCTGCGTTAAGGTGGAGCTGCGTTAGGGTGGAGCTGTGGTCGGGTGGAGCTGCGGTCGGGTGGAGCTGCGTTAGGGTGGAGCTGCGTTAGGGTGGAGCTGCGTTAAGGTGGAGCTGCGTTAGGGTGGAGCTGCGTTAGGGTGGAGCTGCGTTAGGGTGGAGCTGCGGTCGGGTGGAGCTGCGGTCGGGTGGAGCTGCGTTAGGGTGGAGCTGCGGTCGGGTGGAGCTGCGTTCGGGTGGAGCTGCGTTAGGGTGGAGCTGCGGTCGGGTGGAGCTGCGGTCGGGTGGAGCTGCGGTCGGGTGGAGCTGCGTTAGGGTGGAGCTGTGGTCGGGTGGAGCTGCGGTCGGGTGGAGCTGCAGGTCGGGTGGAGCTGCGTTAGGGTGGAGCTGCGGTCGGGTGGAGCTGCGGGGTGGAGCTGCAGAGCTTCTAGTCTTGTGAGATCAGAATGTTGGTCACCAGGACAACAGAGAAACCAGCTCAGAGATGCTGACCTCTTGACCTCCTTCACATCTTTCTCTTTTTGTCACTGAGACCTTCACAGCAAAATTATGTGAAAAGAAAAGAGGCAATTTCCAAGCAGAAGACAAATGGAGAATAATATTTTATCAAAATAAAGGCAAAACTTTTCTCATGATCATTAAGATTCAAGTTAAAAACTTTAAATCTTGGAAAGAAAATTCAGGATGTGGACGATGCAAACATGAAGATGTCTCATAAATGTACATGATTTTATTAAAGAAAGGAATTCAGTTTTACAGTTAAATACTAAACTTTGGCAACATGCAACTAAAACCAGAGACAAAGATAAAATAATGGAGAAACTAATAAAGGTAAAAACTGTAAAAATATCAAATGTTTTGCTGTTTAGATACACTAATTAATATCAATAGATTCTGAGCATTAGCTGAAATTGTTATGTCTTAGTTAGCCTTTAGCCACATTTAGGTTAGCTGCCATTTGCTTGCTAGCAGGATGTTTTGGGACACTTTGAAAACTATGTAACTCAGTGGCATGAAAACGATATAAAATGCCAGGAGATAGGCTCAACTTTACAGAAGATGATGAAAAAACTCAGGTTTTAACCCAACAAACTCGATAGCTGGCTTTAGCTGCAGCCTGCTCCACTCAGCACGGTTAAAATGTTTAACACAAAGACATCTTAAAACCAGTGCACCTACATTTATCATGCTAAGCTGTTATTTCTGCTCAGCCACCACATACTGTGAATAAAGCTTGATGGATGAAAAGAGCTTAGACATTCTGCACACTACATCTGAGTCAGGAGTGGCTAGCAGCTAGCAATGCTAGCAGCTAGCTAGATGAAGAAGATGAAAGAAGGAACCGGTTCTGACTGGACCGGATCAAAACTTCAGCTCTGCTCGGAGTTGGACATTCTTCCATCAGCTGCTGCCTGAATGCGACTGTCTTTAGGACCCGGAGCAGCTGGTTCCGGGCGTTCCCTCTTTTTTTACTGAGGGTTTCCCTCCGTCTGGTACCGGCTCTGGAATCCTGGGTAATCCTGCCATGGAAACACCCTATAAACCACACACACGCACCCCCACTCTCCCAACCCGCACATGGATCCAGCCCCGCGTTGGCTCGGTTCCGATGGATGTCGGATCGTTTCCAGATCGGATCCGTTTCTCTCTTTCTGCTTTCAGCTGAGATTCTGGAGGAAACACCCCGGTTTTCCTCCAGCTACCTTTTGACAAGTTACCCTTTAAATTAGTTGATATCACTACACTGTATTTATGTCCACCGGCGGATATTAGCTGTAGAGCTTTGGACAACAGGGGTAAAAGCGGGGCAACACGCGGGCAACAGCAGGGTAACAGTGGGGTAACACTCAGGTAATACCGGGGTAACAGCGGGGTAATACCGGGGTAACAGCGGGGTAATACCGGGGTAACAGCGGGGTAATACCGGGGTAACAGCGGGGTAATACCGGGGTAACAGCGGGGTAATACCGGGGTAACAGCGGGGTAATACCGGGTAACAGGGGGTAATACCGGGGTAATACCGGGGTAGCAGCGGGGTAATACCGGGGTAACAGCGGGGTAATACCGGTAACAGCGGGGTAATACCGGGGTAACAGCGGGGTAATACCGGGGTAACAGCGGGGTAATACCGGGGTAACAGCGGGGTAATACCGGGGTAACAGCGGGGTAATACCGGGGTAACAGCAGGTTCAGCCCTGCTAGGAAGGCTCACCCAGATTTAGTCAGTCTTAAAGTTAGTCGCTAACATTAGTTTAAATGATCTGACACAAGAGTGCTACATTAGAAATAAAACAATATTATTCTAAATATATTATTATGGTAATATTATATGTTATATTCACAAGACTATTATTTAAATTATTTTTTTCTGTCAAAAGTAAGATAGGTCTCAAAAGTCCCAGGAGGAAAACATCCATCGTTGTTCTCACATGGCCCAAGTTAGTCAGATATTTGAAAAAATATAAATTTTGTGTATATTTTATTTATGCTTTATCTATAGGACCTCTTTTGTCCATTTTCTCAAGAATCACGGATTTGCATTTTGTGTTTGTATATTTATATATATATGTTACTAAATAATTTATAAAAAAAATTTGTGTCTTTGTGCTTTGTAAATATTATATTCATATTCTGTTTTTCCCACCAAGAATATTTGAATATGCTGAACTATGTATCTATACAATTCAAAAATACTTAAATAACAAAATGTTGTACATGTAGTTATAATAACTGTTTGAGTATTCCAGTAAAAAGGCTTAAAATCTGTTTAGTGAGTTATTATTGATTAAATATGCTGATCCTTCATTGTGCGGAGCGGTCGCCCTCTCCAAGATGGCGGCTTGTCAGGTAGACAGAGTGGTCGCCCTCTCCAAGATGGCGGCTTGTCAGGTAGACAGAGCGGTCCATGAGTCCTTTAGCGATCTGCAGCGTTCCTCCGTCTCGTCCTCCGTCTCGCTGCAGCTCTAACCACAGTCTGGCAGCCATCTGGGTTCTAGAGAGCAGAGACTTTCATGGTCATGACTTTGACCTTTGACCTGCTAACTGAGTCTTCTGGAGTCTGAGATGGATTTCTGGGTTTTCTGGTCATTTCTCTGACTTTCATGCTCTGACCTTTGACCTCAGGCTGAATGAGCTGGGAAGGCTGGCAGCTGATGAGATGTTTTGGCCTCTGGAGAACGATGGAGGTCAGAGGTCAAATACTCCTGCCTCATATCATGATGAGAAGCAAGAGGACTCGCTGCAGAACCAATCAGGGTCAACATGCTGGTTCTGGGTATTGTTGCCATGGCTACCCTGCCCTCACGGGTCTCGGCAGTCGGCGGCGCCGCTGCCTTCTGGACCCGGTCTGGCCAGCGGAGGACAAGCAGCTCTTTGAGCCGCAGTGCATGTGTTAATATTTACCAGGCTGCTGCTGGAGGCTGCTGCTGCTGCTGCTGCTGCTGCTGCTGCTGGAGGCTGCTGCTGCTGGAGGCTGCTGCTGCTGCAGGCTGCTGCTGCTGCAGGCTGCTGCTGCTGGAGGCTGCTGCTGCTGCTGGAGGCTGCTGCTGCTGCAGGCTGCTGCTGGAGGCTGCTGCTGCTGCAGGCTGCTGCTGCTGCAGGCTGCTGCTGCTGCTGCTGCTGCTGGAGGCTGCTGCTGCTGCAGGCTGCTGCTGCTGCAGGCTGCTGCTGCTGCTGCAGGCTGCTGCTGCTGCTGCTGCTGGAGGCTGGGCGGTTCTGGGCGGTTCTGGACTCATGCCGTCTGCAGCTCCACCCAGCTGCAGCTCAGCAGCACAAGGAGCCGTTTGATTCCAGTTGTACACCAAACATGACAAATGACTGATCCCAGCGATCCCAGCGCCGAGAGGAGAGGAGGCCGGGAGGCGGCCTGGGCGCAGCGGGAGCGGCACAGGAAACCAGTTTACAAGCTGGCTGGACTGGGAGCGCTTAAACTGGAGGAACTGGAGGCAGTCCAGCACAGCCGACTGGGAACCACAGCTGAAGGCTGTTCCCTTCAGCTGCGGATCAGAGCCGATGAACCAGGGATCCAGAGCCGGAACATTCTGGAAAAATCTGTGGTTATTAAACAGCTGAGCTGCAGAAACAGCCTGAGAAACGGCGGGCCGCTCCTCAGGGCCGGAAACAGGCAGCAAAAAGAAACAGCTGGTAAAATATGTGGAAAAGTGGCCAAAGTTCAATCTGCTGCAGGAGAAACGGCACAGCGGCTTTCTGTGCTGCTCTCTGGGCATCAACCTGCCGACTGTTTGGGCTCCTGGTTTTACCAGTTGAAACAGTCGGTAACAGGGCCGTGCAGAGGCCTTCGGAGGGCCAGGGGCTCAAGATTAAAAAAGGGCAGATTGAACAACAACAGAACAACAACAACCCGCATTGATCAATAACCTAATTGGATCCTACTGTATCACTGCCATCATGTGGGACGATGTGTGATCTATTCACCCAACAGGTATAAAGTTTCTGTTTCTGCTGCTGAGCTGAGACTGGAACTGTTCAACAGACCAGAGAAGGTCAAAGGTCATGAAGTTATGAAATAAGAACATTTGCTGCCATTTTACTAATGAAGCCCTAATAATATCTATTTAACCTCTAGAGCAACTTGGCTGCAGGTGATTTATAAATCAAAAAGCTCAAACGGTTTGACTCTACGTAACCTAACCCTTTAATTTAGAGACCTTTAACCCAGCAGTCATGTTTCTGGACTGTGGGAGGAAGCTGGAGAACCAGAGAGAGAGAACCGCCATGCGCAGGGACAACATGCAGAAAGAGCAACAACCAGTTAGACTCTTTGCTGGCGTGTTTTGTGGGTGGAGCCTCGGCTTCACTCAGCTGCCGACCACCCAATAAATTGGTTTCAGAGAAGTTTTACCGACGCCTGATTGGCCAGTCGCCTCGGATCAGAGCCGGTGGCTGATTCCTATGAGAATAGATGGAGAGTCGGGTTCCAGTCGGTTCCGATCGAGTTCCGGTCGGGCAGCTGTCAGGGTTCTGAGGAACGACCCGATGTACCAACCTGTGAGGTCACGGTTTTCTGACCCGCCATGTTGTCTCATGCAGACGGCCGCCATGTCTGGGAGAGCGAGGCCGCGGTGGAGAGAGACGCGCTGAGGCCGGTAAGACGTTTTCCTCTCATCTGTGAAATAAAGCAAACTAACGTTCTTCAAGCTCACTGGACCCACAGAGTCACTTCCTGCTGGACTCTAATCTGAGACTCTCTGTCACATTTGGGTTCTGTTGTTTCAGTCAGCAGCTCTCAGAATGAGAAGCAAAAGAAAACCTGAAGGAACAGGAAGAGAAAAGTTCTGATGTACCTCTTGGATCAGCTCAGCTCTAACAGCTCAGTGTTTCTGCTCTAATCCAGTTTTATGGATGTTTGTTCCAGATCTGTGGTGCATAGAAGCTGAATGCTGCTTCTCCATGTTTGGTTCTGGATGCAGAGCAGAACCAGAACCAGAACCAGAGGTCTGACATTAATCCTCTGATCCTGGAAATGTTCTTTAGCTGGTAGAAGGCCGACTTTGGAACCACCTTTTGGTGGCTCTGAAGGTTCAGGTCAAAGGTCAGGTTCTGATTTCTGGCTGGAATAATTGTGTTGACTCTAGATCTATAACTCTAGATTGTTCCTCTTTAATAACTTCATCCACAATTTGATCTGTTCTCAGCATCTGTTCAGTGACTAGATTGGGTCAAAGGTCACCTGGTGACATGGTAATCCTGCACAAATAAAGCTAATTGTTGGCAGCTAGCTGCTAACAATGTTAGCTGCTAATTTGTTTGCAGCTAACAAATGATCTGCTGGTTTAGTAAACTTTGGATTCTTAATAAATAAATAAAACATTATTATTATTAAAGGCAGGTCAGAGGTCAGCTGGACTGGTTCCAGTTTGGCCAGCGACTGTCTGATGATTCATCTGCTGAACTGAAGCTGATGTTGCTGTTTCTGCTGATAATCAATATTCACTTGTATCAATATTTCTCTGATCTTTCAACACTGTGAGGAAACGGCCCATGATGCTTTGCTGCGTGGCGTGGGCCACAAATCGGACTGATGAAACATTTTCCAGATTGTTGAAATGTTTCAGAATTTTCCTGACAAGAACAGGAAATGCTCTGTGCTGCAGAACTCGCTGCTGGTTGAAATCCCGCCGTACCGGACGCAGCGCCTCTGCGCCCCGGTTCACGTCAACTTCTACGTCAGCAACGGCAAGAGGAGGCGGAGTCAGCTGCAGCGCTTCTGCTACGTTCCCACCAACGGTGAGCTGCCATTACTGTTCCTCCCACAGCATGATGCTACCTCCGCCGGGCTCTGGGTCCGCCTGTGCTCTCGCTTCTTTAAACTGGTTCAACTGGTTCAACTGGTTCAACTGGTTCAACTGGTGCTGCGGCTGGTAATTGCGCCCCCCGCAGGCAGAAACCTGAACATTTCCTCTTTAATGTTCATTTTCTTATGACATTAAATAAAAAGCAGAGGACAGATTCATGTTTTAGTTTTCTTCCCTGCAGGCGGCCATGATGGAAACAAAGCCTCGTTATTCTGCGGCTCCTCTCCGCCTCTCAGCTCCTTCTGGTTTCTTGACGTCGGTCTCAGACTAATTGGAAACATTTGGTCCCCTGCGCCGCGGCGGTCAGCCTGGGAGGAACAAAGCGACGATTTTATTCCTTCATTGTAAAATAGAAATTATAAAATCTGTTCTTTTCCACCTGAAGCTTCGTGCAGCGGGCTGGAGCGGCCCGCTGCACGAAGCGGCTACAAATAAACCCTGAGCCGCCGCAGATCGCCCCGCAGCCTTGGAGAGAAATGCAGCAGGCGGTTCACAGCTGCAGCAGGCGGTTCAAAGCTGCAGATTTATTTTGAGAAATCATTTTCACTTCTGCTTCTGTTTGCCGACTGTTTCCTTCAGAGGCTCGTTCACTTCCAGCTCACTTCCTGCTAGCCGCAATGGGGCGGAGCTGCCTCTCCGGTTCCTGCGGCGCAAAGCGTTTCCAGAAGATGTTCCGTCTCGGTTCTGATCCAGTCCTCCTTCTTTTCCTTTCAGTTCCGACGATAAAGACGGAGCCGCATGACGACTACGGCGCCGCCCTGCCGTGCAGCCAGCACGCGCCGCTGCACCCAAAGTTGCATTATGGCGCCCAGGTCACCACCCCGGTGACCTCCGACCTCAGGCTGTGCGTTGTGGGCAAGGCTTACGGCCGCTCGCCCGCCTCCAGCCCCAAACTACAGGAACTGTCTCCCCCCCATGCCTCCATCATCCAGGAAGCCCCTCGCCGCCCCCCCACGCCTGCAGACTCTCCGACCCCAACCTTGACCCCGACCTTGACCCCGGGCCCCCCGGACGCCCCTGAACCTGCAGGACGGGTCCGGGAGGGGGGCATCAGCATCAAGGAAGAGCCGCAGGAGCTGGACCAGATGTACCTGGATGACGGTGAGAGGAAGTTTGTGTTCTCAGGGGTCAGAGGTCAAAAGTTCTGATTCAGGAAATCAAGCAAGAGTTTCATCAAACCCAGCTGCTAGAACACGACGGAGCCTTTGTCGTGCTGAGGATGATAAGGACGGACCGCCTGCAGCTCTCTGAGCCCTGACCTTTGACCATGACCCAGAAGTTGCAGCTACTTCCTGTTGCGTCTCGTCAGACCGATGACCTCAGCGCGGCGGCGCCGGCGGCAGGGGAACGGTGCCGGTCCGCCAACCAGCCGCCTTCAGACCGTCGGTCGGAGGATGAAGCAGCAGAACCTTTTAGATCCTGATAATCATCATTTCCTGCCTCTGACCTCATTTAGTTCTTGTTTAGCAGAAAGTTAAAATCTGCAGACTATCTAAAGTCGATGTGACCCAAACGAGCCGCCGGTCCGGTTCTGGATCGATCCTTCGATGTTTCCCTTGCCATGACATTAGGGAACGGTTCCCTGGACCGGAGTTCCCAACCACCAGTGAGAGGCGGGCGCATCCCAGATCCTTAACGAGACGAACGAGTTGATTGGTCCTCGGCCCCCATGATGAGACACAAACTTTATTAATCCCAGAGGAGTTCTGCAGGTTCTGGTCCGACCCGAAGCGTCAGATCCGCCCAGCAACAAACTTCAGAAGATGATTTTCTCAGCTGGACATTGGCAATAAAACATGCAAAATAAAATGATTAAATAGTCAAATATGAAAAGTAAACTTTATTAGAAATGTTCTGAATCAAAAAAAAACATTTTTAATTTTTGAATATAATTTTGCAAAGATTACAAAGTTCTTAGATGTTTGTTTGTTAGTTTTTCATTTTTAGCTTTAACTGCGTTTCTGTTCTCCTTCAGTCAACGAGGTCATCAGGAACGACCTGAGCAGCGACTCCACCCACAGCCACGCCTAAGCCCCGCCCACTACCCCGCCCGTCCTGACATCACGCTCCTCCTGCAACCTGCAGTTAGGAAATGCAACCAGAACAACTGACGGTTGGTTCTCCAGGGTCCACATGCACCTTCAGGTTCGGATCTTCCATGCTTTTCCCAAATCCCCTGGGCGAGCGAGCGTCCTCACAGCGGACGATTCTTTCTGAAGCGGTTTTCGCTGCAGCGCTGTGAAAAGTGCCTTTAAACTGGAAACCAGGAGAAACATACTGAACAGTTCCTGTTTGGATCAATGGAACCTCAGTTCTTTAGGACATCAGTTCATTTCTTTGGTTCCTGCTGCCGCCATGTTTGTTTCGTCTGCTGGGAACTAAAAATGAAAAAAATGTTTTTTATCCCTTTAAATTTTCCTTCAGCACCAAAACACCGGAGAAGCCGTCCAATCAGGGCTCAGCGTCCACCATGAAACATGCATGGTCTGTCCAACTCAAACTGGCGGGGTCGCCCTCTGCTGGCTGGGAGACAGAATGCAGCTGCAGCGCAAATTAAATAATAATAAAACTTTAATTGACTGATTTAAAACTTTGCAACAAATCCAGAAATCCAAACATACATAAGTGTTATAAACACAATAATTCTCATTCAAATTTTTGAAAAACTAAACATTTTTTTTATAATTAGCTGCTTGGATCAAATTCAAGTTAAACAGATGAATTTCATGTTTGTTTAGTTATTTAAATCTGTTTATGGATTTAAATAATTTTATCTGTGATCAAACTAACCAAGAAATAATTTAGTTTTCAGTTTGTTTCTATAACAAGATAATCATTTGAAATGTTTTTTAGATTGTAATTAGATTTTTTCTGATCAGACACATTTATTAACATCAGGGTTTGAATATTTTGCACAAATCTGAAGGTTTCTACAGTCTGTTTTCATACCAACCTGCATTTTTATACTTTTCACATCAAAACTTCAAAGCTGCAACGTTTGAAAATATTTAAACTTTACTTTTGTTTCTTTTCTCTGAATTTACGAGTTTCTGAGATGAATCTGGTTTTCATGACTGAATCTGTTTGCACTGAAGCAGTTAGTGACTGCTTCATGACCTTTACCCCGCCTTGCTTTTTCTCCTGTAAATATCCCAACAGGAAGAGGAAGTGATGTCATAGGTGGATGTCAAACCGATTCTTTAAAACTTGACCTGCTGCTTTTCTCAAAGCTGATCTGGAGATTTTATGGAGGTTTAAATACTTCATGTTTATCAGCTGCTTCCTGTATTTATGAGTCTTAATATGTTTAATGTTGCTGATCCACTTCAGGATGTTTCAATAAAAACTAATTCATGTTTCATCTGAACTTTTTCTCCGTTTATTGGCTCTTTGAGTTGATTCTTTAGTTTCCTCATCATCAGCCTGAAGCAAAGCTCAGTTGATTTATTGGGAATTATTTTCATACTTTCAACAAATAAACAAATATTTAAAAGAAAAATGATGAATTTCTGGAAGCTTCAGGAAATATAAAATCTGCTTTCCGATGCAGATCAAACGAATGAACATCTGAACAATAAAACGAAATGAAGAGAAAGTAGAAAAGTGAAGAATCTAAATCTGTTTCTTTCAAAATAAAACAGATGAAAATTCCCGGAATATGATTTCTATAAGCTTTCAGATGATCTTAATGTGAATAAAAATCTTCATTTATCTTTAATCTTCTCTTAGTGATCAAAAGTATTTTTGAACTGAATTCATATCAGACCTGATTGTAATAAATATTTAATTAATAGTCAGTCATTTTCACAAGTTTTATATTTTCATTCAATTCCTCCACAGAATCAGAAAACTTTCATTTTTCATTTTTAAAATGTTTGTTTTCTAAAACCTAAACAAAAAATATTTCAGCATGAAAATAATTTGATGCAGAAGCTGAAACACTAAACAGTTTGATTTAAATAAACCCAGATGTAAACAGATTTCAGATTCTCAGGCTTTTTTCATCCTGATCAGCTGATCGATCCTCTACAATCAGAACCGGAGCGAGTTCGGTCCGGTCCGGACCGGCAGAACAGACTTTGGAGCAACAAGAAAATGGAAGAAGGAGGAAGGAAACTTCTGTCCTGATGCTGTTGGTTTTCCTGCAGGAACCAAAATTCTGACATTTCTTTGTGTGAAACTGCAGGATCCATATATATATATATATATATTTTTTTTAAAAAAAAAAGCTTCTTGTCGCAACATGAATTATGAACATCAGTTTGTGCTTCATGGAGCGGCTCGTGGCGGTTCGTGCTCCACCCCGCGGCCCACCCGCTGGTCAGTGACGTCATGTCCTCGCTCCCCGCCGCCGTGATGAAAAGCGTCCCGTTCGCAGTGATGGCGCTCCTAACCCACCTGATGACGTCAACCTCCATCCCGGCGGCCGCCATGCAAGAGCTGCTGCGTCCTCACGCGCATCTCCATCCTGCTGTCTGCTGCCGCTGTTCTACCTCTCCACCAAGGGGGGGCGCTCATCTGCGTCAAGAGGAAGAACAAGTGGCGGCAGACAGAGAAGAAGAGACCTCGAGTCATTTTATCCAGTCTTAACAAGTTGAAATTTTATTTGTGTTTCAAAAGTAACTTCAGCAAATCCAACAACTGACGTCACACTGATGGACCAGAAAGATGAAATACACAATATTTATTTCAAAATGTTGTGAGAATGATTTAGTTTTTTCACCAAACTCAGATTCTTTAGCGATGCAATGAAGAAACTGAAAGAAAAGCTTTGATGGCGACTCAGTGAGAAAATTCCTGGAGATCTTTATTTTATTGTCATAAAGCAAACAATGAAATTAAAATAAAAGCAGTTTAAAAAATTATGAAAATGTGCAGATTTTTAATAAAACAAAAGAGCAAAAAAATGAAAACTAAATGCAACATTACAGCCTCCTGATTTATTGGGGACCTTCACGGACCCTCAGGGGCAGCTGGTGTTGCACGGGTCCCCGGAGGAGAACAGGCCGTAGACGCTGACCAGAGGAAACATGGCGACGGCTCCCAGCAGGGAGCCGAGCTGCACCACCGCTCCACACCACACCAGGGCGCTGTGACCTTCGTCCCGCAGGATCATCCCCATGATGATCTTCACATAGGACAGAGAGAAGATGAAGAGGATCCATGCGAGCACCTGGACAGAGGAAGGACACCATCAGAACCACCTGGAATCATCTGGACCCATCAAAATCTCCTGGACCCACCATGATGACGGCGCCTGTACCGTCGTTGACCAGCAGGGGGCACGGACTCAGCGCCGCCATCAGCATTATGTACGACCCGATCCCGGTTCCTAGAACCATCAGGAAACCCAGGAATACCAGCGACCTGCAGAACCACAAGTAACTGTCAAGGACGTCCAGAACCAGAACATGTCTGATTCACACAGGTCAGAAGTTTACATACACCACATGAGGTGAGGCTTCCAAACAGAACAAACTTTATGTTGAATCAATCAAAGCAGGAAGTCGATGAGGAAAAACCAAAAACTGCCAAATCACTTCCTCCTGATTTCCTCCAGACTTCCTCCTGATTTCCTCCAGACTTCCTCCTGATTTCCTCCTGATTTCCTCCAGACTTCCTCCTGATTTCCTCCTGATTTCCTCCTGACTTCCTCCTGATTTCCTCCAGACTTCCTCCTGATTTCCTCCAGACTTCCTCCTGATTTCCTCCTGATTTCCTCCAGACTTCCTCCTGATTTCCTCCAGACTTCCTCCTGATTTCCTCCTGATTTCCTCCTGACTTCCTCCTGATTTCCTCCAGACTTCCTCCTGATTTCCTCCAGACTTCCTCCTGATTTCCTCCAGACTTCCTCCTGATTTCCTCCAGACTTCCTCCTGATTTCCTCCAGATTTCCTCCTGTCTACCTCCTCAGATCCTCGTCTCCCTCATGACTTCATGTTTTCATCCAGACTTCCTTTTTCAAGTTTAAGGAAGTCTGGATGAAAGTTTCTGTTTTTGATAAACTAAAAATCTTCAGATTTCTGTTCAGGTTTTTGGAGCGATTGCTGCAACTGTGGCTGGACTTTGTCACTCAGCCGGTTGCCAGTTTAATCGCCACTCTGTCATTGTGTCTTTGGGCAAAACACTTCACCTGCTTTACCTGCTGCAGGTTAGAGCGCCCAGCAGGGGGCGACGGTGCATGGCTGCCTGATCTCTGACTGTCAACTGTGGCAAGTAGCTCTACAATCAGCACATGAATGAGTGAATGACTGAATGAGTGAATGACTGAATGAGTGAATGACTGAATGAGTGAATGAGTGAATGACTGAATGAGTGAATGAGTGAATGACTGAATGAGTGAATGACTGAATGAGTGAATGAGTGAATGACTGAATGAGTGAATGAGTGAGTGAGTGAATGACTGAATGACTGAATGAGTGAGTGACTGAGTGAATAAGTGAATGAGTGAGTGACTGAATGAGTGAATGACTGAATGAGTGAATGAGTGAGTGAATGACTGAATGAGTGAATGAGTGAATGAGTGAGTGAGTGAGTGAGTGAGTGAATGACTGAATAAGTGAATGACTGAATAAGTGAATGAGTGAATGAGTGAATGAGTGAGTGAGTGAATGAGTGAATGAGTGAGTGAGTGAATGACTGAATGAGTGAATGAGTGAGTGACTGAATGACTGAATGAGTGAGTGACTGAGTGACTGAATAAGTGAATGAGTGAGAATGAGTGAGTGAGTGAATGACTGAGTGAGTGAATGAGTGAGTGAGTGAATGACTGAATGATTGAATGACTGAATAAGTGAATGAGTGAATGACTGAATGAGTGAATGAGTGAGTGAGTGAGTGAATGACTGAATGATTGAATGACTGAATAAGTGAATGAGTGAATGACTGAATAAGTGAGTGAATGAGTGAGTGAGTGAATGACTGAATGAGTGAGTGAGTGAGTGAATGACTGAATGAGTGAATGACTGAATGAGTGAGTGAGTGAGTGAATGAGTGAAGGAGTGAATGACTGAATAAGTGAATGAGTGAGTGAATGAGTGAGTGAGTGAATGACTGAATGAGTGAGTGAGTTAATGACTGAATGAGTGCGTGAATGACTGAATGAGTGAGTACTGAATGAGTGAATAAGTGAGTTAATGACTGAATGAGTGCGTGAGTGAGTGAGTGAGTTAATGACTGAATGAGTGCGTGAATGACTGAATGAGTGAATGAGTGAGTGAGTGAGTGAATGAGTGAGTGAGTGAATGAGTGAATGAGTGAGTGAGTGACTGAATGAGTGAATGAGTGAGTGAGTGAGTGAATGAGTGAGTGAGTGAATGAGTGAATGAGTGAGTGAGTGAATGACTGAATAAGTGAATGACTGAATAAGTGAATGAGTGAATGAGTGAATGAGTGAGTGTTACTCCTCTCGAGTTCAATTAAACTTAACGCAGTTCTTGATTTTCTACAGCCATTTATTTCAGACCCGTTCTTCTAGGTCCTCAAAAATGCCGTCAGAACTACAAAAAAGGTAACACAACCTAAATCAGTTCACAACAAATGGCACAATATAACAAAAGATCCATACAACAAACTGTACCTCATTATCTGCATCAACTCCAGAGGAATAAAGTCTAATCTTCTCAGTCTCTCCAGCCTGCATGACCCACATGGCTCCAAATGCGCCAGCCAAAGCTCCCCAGGCAACACATGCCGCGCGGAACAAAAGTTCCCCCTCTACATTCCAATGTACACCCAACATAAAACCAATAAAATTACTACTGCCACCTTAAACATAAAAAACAAAAATAAAAAACAAGAGGCAGTTGTCCTGACAGCAGCCACAGTGAGTGAGTGAGTGAGTGAATGAGTGAGTGACTGTGTAGAGCTTGATGAAGTCCAGTAGAACCTTTTCATCGTTTCAGTCCTGAGAGAAGAAAATGATTGAACAGACATTTGATGATTGATCAGGTATTTGCTCCTGACTGACCTGATAGAGACGAACACGGCGACGAAGCCGGCCAGCGGGTTGGACACGGCGGCCAGCGTGGCAGACAGGTGGTAGGCGATGTTCCCGTAGGGCAGGCAGGAGTAGGACTGGACGGACGGCAGGACCGTGTTGCTGAGGGCGTTGACCCAGCCCAGAACCACGAAGATGAAGATCAGCTGCTTCTGGCTGCAGGAGCTGGAGCCCAAGCTGCTCCTGGGTTTGTGGTTCGGGGGCCTGCAGGGGTCCATCATAGGCCTCTGCTCGGCCCTCTTCCGGCTGCTCCGGGACGTCTCCCTGGACCCGCCGAAGGAGCGCGGCTCAGGCTGCTGTCGGGCCACGGCCGGGTGGCGGTCCAGCAGCAGGAACGCTGCCAGGCTCGCCAGCATCATGGCGCTGAGGAAGAAGAAGAAGACCTCGGCCGAGAAGTTGGAGGGCTGGTACTGAGCCTCCAGGGGTCCGGTTCCGTGGCCGCTGTGGTTCAGGGACTGGCTGCTGGTGACGCAGCGCACCAGGCCGACGCCCTGGACCAGAGCCGCCAGGGCCGGCAGCAGGCCGCTCAGCCCCTCCCCGATGAAGTAAGAGGTGAGGAAGTTCGGCTGGAGGCGCGTCATGAAGGGCAGGAAGGTGACGGAGGAGGTGCAGTCCACAGCCGCCAGGAAGAAGGTCAGGACCAGCAGAGCCAGGCTGCGGGGGGCGCCGGCCACCGCCACCGTCTCCTTCCAGAAGAAAGCCAGCAGGAAGCTGGCCACGGCGCCCACCGCCAAGATCACGTAGATGGCCGCCACCTCGTTGAGGACCCCGGGCCGGAGGCGGTGCATCAGGGTGACGACCAGCGGCCCGACGTTGGCCGCCTGGATGAGGACGGACAGGTAGGAGGGCAGGTACCATCCCTCTGGCACCTGCGGGACTATGAGAGGAAGCTCCACCCACAGGCCGTTGATTGAGACCCAGGAGCCCATCCCGAAGAGGACGGCGAGCAGGTGGGTGAGCACGGCCATGGCAGAGGCGTCCTGCGGGGAGACGCCCGGACAGCAGGCTCAGAGGGACAGGCCTGGTCTAATTCAAGGCCTTTAAACGTTGATTACATACAAGAGTTGTCAGCAAAAAGGTTTGTACTAAATACATGTTGGTTGATATGACTAATGTACACAGTCATAAAATTGATTAGTGAAAACTTTATCAATGCTAAATTTGATCTAATGCATTGAGACCAACGACACGTCATCTTTATGAACTAATATTCAGAATTTCAGTAAATGTGCAACTTAGAATGCAACTTGATGCATTTTAAGTTGCATCAAGTTAAAATGATGCAGTTTTGATGTCCATGTCTGAAATGTGAAGGTTTTATGTGCAGCAGGAGAAAACGGATCAAACTGTAAGTGCAGATTAATGTGTCACCATGAGGAACGGATCCATCCAGCTGTGTGAATTATTCCCATCTTCTGTTAATGTTCACAGATTGTTTGTTTCCTGTGGAAACGCTGAGCAACACCGACTGTTTAAATGCAAACCACTCAAACTCGTCTCCACAAAAGTTGTCGATAATCATAGAAGTAAAATTCCAACAGTAAATCAGCTTCTATGTTAGGCGCCCAAATCTGTTGAATGTTGATGAAAATCAAAACGACGCTCTGCAGAGACTCACCTGCTTCTGGTTTTCTGGAGCCAAAGTCCTGAGCAATGACAACCTGCAGGAGCTGCAGGTGTAAGCCCTGCTGGGGGCGGGGTCCTGCCGAAAGCCCGGCCCTGATTGGATGATGGCCGTCTGCACCCTGCAGGGCAGCAGATTCTGGTTTCTCTGTAGAGAATCTGCAGAATTCAGCTAATTCTTCTGGAGCGGATCAAGAGGCTGCAGGCTGCTCAGCAGAAAGTCACGTTTTAACGGCTTTGTGGAACAAGTTCAACAAAAGTTCTTCTAACCACAGCGGTCTGCAAAACATTTCTACTTATCAGCAGCAAATATTGGGATGATACAGAAAATGCCAACAGTACCAAATAAAAATCATTTATTTTCATTGCATGTCAGAAAATCTGGACTCAAAGCAAAACCAGCATCATGGCTAAAGTTTATTCTAAAAGAACAAAAATGTTATAATTTAGCTGATTTATGGAGGAATGTTGGAGGCCATCAGCTTTACCCTCCATCAGCTCCAGCCAAACTAATCAATCAATTAATTATCGATCGATTACTGGAGGATAAAGACAACGGAGCAGTAAAAAAATATATAAACATTAACATTTAAAATGAAAAACCGAGATTTCACTAAGCTGTTGCTTTATTGTCAGCAGGAATAAACAGGATAGTCTCTTTAAAACTTCTGGGGGTCAGAGGTCAAGCCTCAGTTTGAGCGTCTGGCATCGGCTCCTTCTGCCTGACAGCAGATTACAGAAACAGGAAGTGAGCGTTGGGCCCAAACAGCCGGGAATCAGATCTTGTTCCCAAAATGTAAAGAAGATTTCAGTGAAATGTTCCAACAGAAAGGAAAGTGGAAGATCAGGATCGTCCTTCATCCTGCTTCCTTCGTCCTGCTTCCTTCGTCCTGCTTCCTTCGTCCTGCTTCCTTCGTCCCTTCCTTTCCTGCTCCCTTCGTCCTGCTCCTTCGTCCTGCTTCCTTCGTCCTGCTCCCTTCGTCCTGCTTCCTTCGTCCTGCTTCCTTCGTCCTGCTCCCTTCGTCCTGCTCCCTTCGTCCTGCTCCCTTCGTCCTGCTTCCTTCGTCCTGCTCCCTTCGTCCTGCTTCCTTCGTCCTGCTTCCTTCGTCCTGCTCCCTTCGTCCTGCTCCCTTCGTCCTGCTTCCTTCGTCCTGCTCCCTTCGTCCTGCTTCCTTCGTCCTGCTTCCTTCGTCCTGCTCCCTTCGTCCTGCTTCCTTCGTCCTGCTTCCTTCGTCCTGCAGCCATCAGTCCAGAAACGTCCGGAGATCAGGATCAACTGCGCCCCCTGCTGGAGGAGCTGCAGTCCTGTTGCTGCAGACGTCCTCGCAGTCGTGGCCGCGGGCGAACAGCTGGTAGACGTTGACCAGCGGGAACATGGCGAGCGCGCCCAGCAGGGAGCCGGCCTGGATGGCCACGCCGGCCCACAGCAGCGCGGCGCGGCCGGCGCCGTGCAGCAGCGCGCCGATCGACGCCTTCAAGTAAGAGAACAGCCCGGTGAAGAGGATCCAGGAGCCCACCTGCAGGGGGCGCACACACGCAGCCGGTGAGCCATGTTGGGGCGGCCATATTGCCTCTCACAGTAAAACTGTTTGATTGATTTCTATTGATCAGCTGTAGCTGAATTAAACTTTTTCACAAAACTTTTAAATGCTAAAGTTTTCATCTCAGTCGTGTTTTGCATCAGAACCAACATCTGGACCTGGAACATCCAGAACCTTGTGGGTTTTAGCCATCGCTCCACCAAACCCCTCTGCTGGAGGACTTCCTGGTTTCTGACCAATCAGAGCACAGAGTGCGGAGAGACACGCCCACTCTCCTTGACTCCAGTAGCTCTGGTTCTGATTGGTTCTGGAGAAACCGGACCTTTACAGACCGGTTCTGATCCGGCTCAACATTGAATGAATGGATCGCCATGGAAACCAATTAAATCCTGACTCTGATTGGATTTAATTAAACTGACAATCAAGTGAAAGGTTCCAGACTTTCAAAATAAAGGTAACATTTTCTCGTCATATTTAGCCAAGAACAAGAAGTGGTTCCGGTTCTGAGCGTTCAGATCAACCTGGACTTACCTAAAGCCACACATTCAGAACTTTAGCCGTCGCTGCTCGGCGGCTTATCAAAATAAAAGCCTCCAGAGGAAACTCACCACCAAGGCTTTCCCAGCGAGGCTGGCCTGCAGCGGCGGGCAGGGGCTGAGCGCCGCCAGCGCCAGCAGGTACGCGGCGAACACGCCCGCCGTCAGCGACACCAGGCCCAGGCCTACAGGGGACCTGAAACACATCACAGGGTCATAGGTCATGCTCTTTGTTACAGTCCTGACCAGCCCTCACGCTTTAGGCTCCTTAAGCTCCTCCAGAACTTTTAGAGATTTTTTTTACTCCATTTCTAGAACCTGACATGCTTTATTGTTATTGTGTCACCAGTGACCTAAACCCAGCTGGAGCGACACAGGAAGTGGTCCGGTTTGGAGACAGCGTCTCCATAAAGGGTGCAACTGTTTGACCTCTGAGCCACTTGGGGCCCCGACCTCAGTCCTGACACCAATTTGTGAATTTCTTTTTATCATTTGAACTTTAAGGGGAGAACAGTATCAGGGGCAAAATCCACCTTTAAAGGTCAGAAACGCCTCCAGTCTCACCTCAACACCACGAACATGGCCAGGAAGCAAGCCAGGGGGTTGGCGATGTTGCCGAGGACCACAGAGAGGTGAAAGGTCATGTTACTGTAGGGCAGACAGGAGAAGCTCTGGATGGATGGGAGCACTCCGTTGGTCAGAGCGTTGGAGGCAGCGAGCAGCGCCAGCAGGTAGACGTTTCGTCCCGTCCAGAACCTGGGAGCGGCTGGCTCCGGGCCGACCGGCTCCTCCGGCGCCGCCGTTCCTCCGTTGTACAGCCGGTGCGTCTCCTCTCCGCTCTTCGCTGCCTCGGCGCCGTTGGACTCTTGGGGCGGCCTCTCCGGCTGGGACTCGGCCCGTCTTTGTGTCAAAGCCGTGAAGCTCAAGGCCGAGATGGCGAGCATCACAAACAGGAACCAGAAGAAGTTTTGGGCAGGAAAGTTCTCCTCCAGGTACTCCGGCTTCACCGTGTCGTTCTCGGTTTTACACTCCAGCTTGCCGACGCCCTGACCCAAAGCCACCACGCAGGGGAACAAGGCGCTGAAGCCCTGGCCGATGAAGAACGTGCGGATGTACTCTGGAGGATAGCGGAACATGAATGGCAGGAAGGTGACGGTGGAGGTGCAGCAGACCAGAGCCAGGGTAAAGCTGAGCAGCAGGAAGGGGAGTGACCGCTCCGCTCCTGCGATCGGCACCCGGCGGGACCAGAAAAGGGCCAGGAACCCTGACGCCACCACCGCCAGCGCCTGGATGGAGTGAATGGCCACACGTTCGTTCAGGCGACCTGCAGCGCAGTGGTGCGCCACCGTCACCACGATGGGACCCAGATTTCCAAAGGCGATAAGCACCGAGAGGTACGCAGGAAGATTCCAGCCTGGAAGGAGCAGAGAATCGAATCAGAAACCACCCGGTTCTACGTTCCTTCATTGAGACTTCAAGTTCACCTCGCTGCAGCAAACAGCAAGTGGAACGGACCACTGTCAGTCTCAGACCTTGTTTGGAAACGGAACCATTGCACTCCAGAAATGAAGGGGGCGCTATTTCATTTTTTCCAACTTTTTTTCATTCAATTGTGTTTTCATTGTACATCATTAATTAGTACAATGAAAGCACAGTTGTTACTGCTGGGGAGAGAAAGAGAAGTTCAAGCTGATTTCACCCAAACACCCTGTGAAGAGGTTTTATTCGTATTAAATGATGTTCCTTTATGTGTCATATACATGTAATGTTTTTTGAATCACAGTCAAGGTGTTTCTCTGTGCAGCTGGAAAAGGTGAACAAACTAATGAACCAAGATGTGTCTACTGAAGTAAGTTTTCCAGACAGTTATTTGGGAACTGGCTGTTTTTCCCGCGGCCTTCCCTGCATGGAGACACAGTGTTTAGTTTTCACCTCCCATAGACATTACATTATATTACATACAAGGTTCTGTATGTTTTCCTTTGTTTCTTTTGTTTGGTCTTAGAAGATTGAGTCTCCGCCTCGGTAGTAAAGAGAGAATAAAGTAACTATGCAGCTCTGGGTTCCTCAGAGCGGATCCTAATTTGTGCCTAATGCAGTGGATTTCTTGCTCTCCGTCTGCAGATGTATTAAAGATTGTTTTTGCTCCCTGACTTTTGTCTGGATCTCAGTCTCTGAATTGGGCACTTCACAATTTGGTGCATTGGCCGGGAACCTTCGCTGGTTCATCCAAGTCGGTGGACCTCAGGAGAGGGCTGATCACCAAACCTTCAAACTGCTTTTCCTCCAAACCGCTGGCAGGTCTGTCTGAGAAAAAGAGGACTCTTCTGGTGCTCCACCGGGTTGGATCAGCCACGACAGGATAAAAACAGAGCTGAGAGGGGCTGCAAAACATCTTAAGGTTTGTAGGTCTATTTATTTAGACTGAGTTGTAGGTCTGTCAATTTTAGACCGAGTCCTGTAGGTCTGTCGATTCAGACTGAGTTCCCCTAGGTCTATTAATTTAGACTGATTTCTGTAGGTCTATTAATTTAGACTGATTTCTGTAGGTCTATTAATTTAGACTGAGTTTGTAGGTCTATTAATTTAGACTGAGTTTGTAGGTCTATTAATTTAGACTGAGTTTGTAGGTCTATTAATTTAGACTGATTTCTGTAGGTCTATTAATTTAGACTGAGTTGTAGGTCTATTAATTTAGACTGAGTTTGTAGGTCTATTAATTTAGACTGAGTTTGTAGGTCTATTAATTTAGACTGATTTCTGTAGGTCTATTAATTTAGACTGAGTTGTAGGTCTATCAAATTAGACTGAGAATTGAAGTCAACGTTTCAAATAAACGTTTTAAATTGTAAGAGGTTTGTAAAATTAGAGAATGGGACTTTTCTCTTCTAAAGAGCCTAGTGATGGATTTAGTAATTATGTTCCTCTTGGGCCGATTGTAGAAGAGATGATTAGAAAACATGGGGAATCATGTGTTCAGTATTTGCCACAATGGCATCTTAAATTTGGATTTCCTAAACATGGGTCATTTGAACCCGAGCATTTGATGGAATTGGAAGAAAAATTAGTGCTACAGAAACAACAGCTGCTGAAACAAAAAAAAACAAAAAAAAATCTCACTTGACCATTTACAAATAATGTATGCACACACGGACACACTTAGAGTTTGGAAACAGGAATCACAAAACAAACAAGAGCAGAAAAATGAGAAAGCTAATGATTGTTTTTCTCTCTTCCCAACATGTCAACCTGCTGCGATGAGCTTGCTTCCAGCGGCACCAACAGGTCCACCTGGCATCGCTAGACGCTATCCAGCTCTTCCTCCTTACCAACCATCAGCCTCACTGAGGAAAGACTTTTTTTTGGACATTGATGACCATTATCCCTACGGCCCGAAGACTGAGGAGGAAGACACTATGCCTCCCCTGGAGGGGGAAGAAGAAAAGACTGTTTTTACTGCAGTTGCTGAGAAACTCTACAACACCAGCCTAAGCCTTCACCAGGTGCTTCGACTGATCTTCAGTGTCCCATGTATGGACCGTGAGGTTGAAGAGACCCAACTACACAATTCTGCCAACTCACCATGCTTCATCAGGCTGCCCTGAACATCCACAGCCACAGCAAGGACAGTATGGGCAGTCACAAAGCAACACACTGCCTGATGTTTGTTTAATCCATGGACAACAAGGACATTGGGCCAGAGACTGCTTCCAGAGACAATTCAGAAACAACCAGGAGGTTGCACAGAGCCCGAGGAGGAAGATTTGATGTCAACCATAGAGGCTTCCCCAGATGGGTCAAGTTTTTCCTTTAAGAGGTGGATTTACAGGACATCGTGGAGGGTATTCCAGCTAACTAGACCTGGTGCCGTTGGAGCAACCTCTGGTTCAGCAAATCGCAAGTACCAACACACACAACACATATGTAAAATATACAACTGAAATACACCAAGTCCTCCCCATGCTCACTATTTCTGTCTATTGAATGTTCAGACACGGGGCTCCGTGTCCAAAACAAACTCCAACTGATTTAGTTTGTTCAAAACACCAAGTCTGCTCTACATTTTTAAATGGTTGATTACAGACCGACAATCTGAGGCCATTTTGCAAATGGCTCGTGAAAGAGTCCCTCCCACTTCCACTGTGATGTAGATAGATCCAGCTGATGAGCTGGGTGACTCCTCCCTTCTGACACGCCCGTCTCTGCTGCATGCAACTCAAATATGCTGGTCCGCTGAGACCTGCTTTTTGCTGATTGTCACATGAGCAACTGAGCTTCTTCACACTGACTCATTTTTTTAAAAATTTATTTCCTTATGTCTCTTTGGCAAAACATCCAGGAGATGGGTGGAAAACTTTTGGCCCTCTAGCAAAAGCAACATATGAAACAACTGATTGTATATGTCACTCAGAAAGTATTTATTTTTTGCCATCACCATGATTTGCTTCTTACAAATATGATGTGGGCTTAATAATAAAAAAATAATAATAAAAAATGAAAAACCAATTCACATAATGCCCAAATCAAATTGTTACTATCCCAATCAAAAACAATACCCTTTCAAACCAGAAGCTGTGAAGAAACTCAGTGCTCCTGATCAACCTGTTGAGTGGAGGTTTGTTCAAGATCTTAGAGAAGTTAACAGGTCTGTCATTGCCAGAGCAGCTATTCTTCCAAATCCATACACTATTTTATCACAAATTCCAACAGGCAGCATGTTTTTCACAGTCATTGATTTAGCAAATTTTTTTCCAGTGTTCCAATTCACCCAGAAAGCCAGTTCTGGTTCACTTTTCAGTTTAATGATAAACTTTACACATTCACAAGACTTTGTCAGGGCTACTGTGAGAGTCCAACCATTTTTCACCAAGCATTAAATGACAATCTTTCACATTTGACACTCGCACCACAGACAGCTCTTTTGCAGTATGTTGATGATTTATTATTGGCGGCTCCCAATCAAAATCTGTGTTTCTGAAAGCATGAAATTACTTCATTTCCTAGCAGAAAATGGTCATAAAGTTAAAAGAAGCAAATTGCAGTTTGTGCAGCCTTCTGTGTCTTTTCTGGGTCATGTGATTTCCTCCGAAGGCAGAGCTATCTCCAGCAACCGCATTGAAGCGATTGTGAACATACCTCTCCCTCAAACGAAGAAACAACTGATGTCCTTTTTAGGACTCTGTGGCTATTGTAGGCATTTCATACCGGGTTATGCTGAGATTGAGAAACCTCTGAGAGAAGTATGTCATGACAAGGGATTTGGATTATTAATGAGCTCACACATTTTACATAGGATTGAAGTAAAATGTGAATTGAAGTTGGTTTGACGTCATTCAAAGCGCTGAAAAAACACCTGCAGAGACCTCAAACTCTGGGATTTTTCCCGATCTTTCCTGAATGTTTTATAGAGATGGTTAGATGAGAAGAGGGATTTTTGTTTTGCTCCAAAAACATGGTGATAAATTGAAATTGGTCACCTATTTTCCAAATTAGATTCTGTAGCAGCCGCATTGCTACAAAGTTTGCGCGCAGTGGCAAGTGCAGAAGGGGCTGTTATGGCATCTCCAGACATCGTGGTATTCTAATCTGATTTTGTACGCTTCCTACGATGTCACACTAATTTTGACCACCTATCTACTGTCAGATAGGTTGCATTATATACGCGTTGGTATAGCATATCATATTTTGGTTACATTTCAATTGACCAGAGGTAATTCCTATAACATACAGCTGTGATAAATTTGAACTTAGACAGATTAAAATACCTTTAGTTGTCCAGGGACTATTAGTTATAACAAAACTGTTTTTTTAATTAATGAAGCGCTTCAGCAGAAACATGATAAATTATGTGCTGTAATTCTAAATTATATTGAGATCTCTTCTGTATGTGTACACAAAGCTGAATTTTAAAACGGGATCCTGTACATTAGAGTTGAATTTAAACATTGATATATGTTGTTAAAAGTACTTTTCTCTATTTGAAGCTTCATGTAAATTTGGCCATTTCAATTTAAGAAAATATGTATATGAAATGAAGACTGACTGTAAATATTTGACTGTAATGCAAATCTGACTGACTGACTTCTGATGGCGTCCAACGTTTGTTTGTGTCTGTTTCATGTTGGAGTGAATGTTTGTTTACATGTAATGTTTGTTTACATGTAATGTTTGTTTACATGTAATGTTTGTTTACATGTAATGTTTGTTTACATGTACTGTTTGTCTACATGTTCTGTGTTTAATAAACATTGAACTAACATGCGCATGCGAAGAAGATAAAAACATAATCTTGTTTGCAGGATTTCTCAAACACCGGAATGGGACCGCCGATGAAACCTGGAATTGTTTTAATAACATGTAATGACAACATGATTAACTACTGAATTTCTCTAACAGATCAATTAAAGACGACAG